GTCGATCGCGTGCTGCCCGTCAATTGTTTCAGTTGCAGGTAAATGTTGCGGAAAAAAAGATGAGACGTATAATGTACGCGCATTTTTTCGATTTCGGGTGTTGATAAAAGTAACCTCACGCGGGCGGCTATAATATATCGAATTCAATTAGGCGTAATTGTCACACGTCGCGGTGCCGTGTGACAGATATATAGCATATACAGATACAACGTAAGTGTGTCGACACCTTCGAATTGATAATTCCACCTGTTGTCTGCTATATTCCTTGCCATATATATTTATAGCGCCTATATTTTCTAACGAAGTTGATACCTTCGCGTACATCCGGTGTCTTTTTATATTACATTTTATTTTACTTTTTTTATTCGTCGTCTCGACGCCGCTGCTGACCAGGCATTCGATGCAGCTGTGCGAATGTACACCACTTTTTCGCACCGACGTTCGCACGTATACACAGCGCAATCTCTCATCGTATATATACGTATATATGTACAATGCAAATCAACCGAGTGATATGGTTTTTTTTCTCTCTTTCTCTTCCTTTATCGGTCGATATTATTATTTTTTTTTTTATTTTCTCGGTACGAATGTAAGTCCCCGTTGCAAGATTCAGCATTTATATACTCGTACGGTATACCGGTACGAGTATGTAGGTATGTAGGCGAATTTTTTTAGTATGGCATCTCTCCGATAAGACTATTTGAAGATGATTCATATACATTACGGTATTAGCGCGTACACAATTACTTCGATACGTATAGATAAGGAATTATAGCTGCAGTAGAAACGGCCGTTTTTCGACCGAGCCGGTACACGTAATGATGCATCCGAGCGCAAATCCGGTGCTTTTCGCTCTGTCTCTGCGAAATGGTAAATAAAAAACGTAAGTAAAAAAAAAGAAGAGGAGGAGACAAGACTCTCAAAAGCCTCTAAAGACCTTAGACACACACACACACACACACACACACACACACACACGTTGTGCGCGTTGTCTCTTCTGCGCTGTGGCTAACTAAAGTTGAGAAACATATAGGAAAATGAATAGAAAGAAAATACTAAGAAACCAAAATAATGTTTCGCGCTCGCTCTCTTGGCGCATGCGAGGTGCTCTCTCTGTCGCTGCGGCCGGCAGTCGAGAGAGGAGTCCGGTTTCGTCTTATGTGTGCATGCCTTCGTTTACCTTAACGTCGTGTCTTCTTTTCTGTTACTTTAAGGCTTTTGCGCGTGGGAAGTGAGAGAAAGAGAGGATTTTCTTCTTCTTTTTTTTTTTTTTTCATTATGTGTCTCTCGTCGTTGTCGTCGTTGTTGTTGTTGTTGTTGCGCGTTGTTGACTTTGCGTTATATTATTATATATACGTTATGTGCGCGCCAAGACACGTTAGAGTATCTTCCTACCTTCTCGCTTTACACCATCGACACGCGTATATATAATGCGATTAGCTCTATATTTTTTTTCTGCTGCAGCGAGAACGAAGAGTCATTCCGCGCGACACTCGTTCAATAAACCCGGCTAAATAATAATACGTACGAATTTATTCGTTCTCTCTTCGATTTTAATCCCCATACGTATCTGCCTCGCCTCGCTATACGGAGATAAGATTGCGCACATACTGTATACAACGCTGACTGCAGTTCGGTCGAGAAGAGTAAAAAAAAAGAAAGAAAAAAATCCCGTAACTTTTTGCGCCGCACCGCGAGGCTCCTCCACACACACACGCGTACGTTATACTTTTTAACACGCTTCGTTGATATACATACCACACACGGCAGCGATGCGCGCGTACATACACACGCAGACTTGTTTATATATATATAGATAATTGGTGGCTTAAGATGACAAGACGCGGAAGTGCACACACACACACACACACCCACGAGCGCGCGAGATAGCACAAGCCGTTTTAGCGGATAAAAATTTAATTACAAAGAAGGAAGTAATATATATAAAGGCGATATATTTATTACATATACCTTGGGCTTCGAGAGACGAGAGAATCGTTTGTTACGATATCGTGTATAGAGGCGGTAGCCATGTATACAATAGATTTTCTATTAAACGCCGAGAGTTATATTATTACACGTATATTAATGTCCCCGTTGCGCCGGGCTTCTTTCTAAACGTTCCTCTGTAAATGTGTGTGCGCAGCGCAGAGGGTGGCGTACCAAAATGAGCACAAGCAACAACAACAATGACAAAAGCACGTGTGCTGGAAAACTTTCACGTGTCGAGCGACAAGCAACATGCAAAAGTGCATGTAGCAGCAGCAGTAGCAAGGATTGCTCCCAAAATTGTAATAATATATCATACAGGCGAACAGCCGCCTATCCCACGTGCGATTATACGCATAGGCTAACTGCGCGATCTCGTTGAAAAACGATAAACTTTCTTCTCGTTAAAGAGCTTATACATAGCAGCTCCAGCGGTATAGGGTACAAGAGCAACGCGACTTTAATTAAAATATATTATATGCATAGATGCGTGCGCGTTTTACTATCTTGTACTACTGTACGCGGAGCACACACGTGCGCGACAAAAGATCGTTAGGGATTAATATCGAACGTAGCCTTGAAACTAAGCTCGCGACTTTGAAAGATTCGCTATCGGCGAAATATAGTTTTATCGTCGCGGAAAAATGCGCGCTGCAGCTGCTGCTGCTCCGTATAAGAGTGAAATTAAGTCACTGCTCCGCGTTGTAATATATAACGTCGTGTCTATCTCGTCTACGATGCAATTTTGCCCGAAAGCTCGACTCGGTGCGGTGCACTTCTGGTGCGCGGCACATTGCGTAATTATCCTTCTTCGTAATATGCGACGACGACGAGTATGTGACTCTCTCGGGCGAAACGTTACTACTGCCTACTGTGTGACGTGTATATTACACGCTGCGTGTAATGTGTCAGCGCGCGAGAGAGATACTCGCGGATCCTGGGAAATGAAAAAAAATTCTGCTTTCGTTCGCATGCTATAATATAATGTGTAAGCTCCGAGGAGTGCCGTTCGCGCGCGAGGCTCGAAATAATATCGTCGTATGTTGACGAAAAATCGTAATGATTAATGGAGCGAATATGATTTAGATTCGACGCGTATAGTTTTTATTTTTTTTTGGCTGACCGTTTGAGAAGTCGAAGAGAGAGATTATTATATTATGTACGCATGGGGTACATTCCGTGAGCGCGGAGTCTTTCTTATGTATAGGAACGAGGATCGAGTCGATCGTGTGTTCGCACGGCACACGTATATACCTATACGCGGAGGGATGAACGTTGAATTTCGTAGAAGAAACTTAACTTGAGCGCAAAAGGTTTTTTCTTCTTCTTCTTCTTCTTCTTCCCCAATTGACAATGAGCCAAGTTCCTTTATTTTCTTCCACCGATGGTGCTGGTGGTGGCGGAGGAAGTTGCTGTATACGCGCGTTGGCCATATATTTTCGGCGTATTCTTAGTTATTTTTTATTGTGTGTACGAATCGTTTTTGTAATGTATATTACAAAGCCCCCGTTTAACCTGCTCCATTTTTTTCTACATCGTGTTGGTACCGATCGGTCGCTCGCAAATTTTGATTTTAACGAATCTCTCGCCCGTGTGTGTGTGAAAATTCATTAAATCCCAGCCGCGCGACTTGTGGCAGACTCGTGACATCTTTGAAAAACGTTCAACGGACTCTCCGCGCAATTTCCTTCTTCCTTCCCGGCCCCAATAACAGATAACCGAAAAAGTGTAACCGAAAAAAACATCCGCATCTTATAAATCTCTATTCTCGTATGGTAATCGTAACCACTCGTAGATATATATAAGTACACAATATGCATCTCACACTCACCCACAAGAGGTGTATTATAAATTACGATACGCTCGCGCGCGAGACATTGCACTTGAAATTCTCTAAAAATAGCCCCTTTCGTATCCTCTGCGGTATGCGTTGTTGCTCATACATATATATATATATATATATACGAGTCCGCATGATCCTCGCTCGGGCTTGACTCACGCACGCATATTTTCTTATATATATAATACATGTGTGTGCGCGCGAATTGTGTATACTATAGCGTAAGGTGTACGTATATACCTGCGCGGCGGCGGCGGTGGCAGCAGCACAACTTCGGAGCAAGAACACACACGTGCGCGCACGTGTGTATGTCCATGTGCAGCGGCGGCGACGGCGGCGGTGGTATTCGATCGTGGACTATACACACTATAGCTCTCTCACGCACACACACACAGACAGATAGACACGTACACGGTGGGAGTTAGCTCCGGCTGAGCCTATACGTATAGTATAGTGTATATAGCGAGGCTTATAAGAGACGACGACGTTACAGTGGGGGAGGGTTTTCTCTCTCTCTCTCTCTCTCTCCGTCTCTCTCTGTGGCATTATAGGCCTTCAGCAGAGGTAAAAGGGAATCGCGGTATATTACGCACACACACACAGACACGGGGCCTGCATAGTAGAGGGGGTATAAAGAGAGGAACAAGGTGCCTCATGCTCCGAGTTGTGTGCTGTGTGTGCATTTTATGTATATATATATATATATGCGACGACTGCGACTGGTTGGTGCTCCGAAGCCAACAAACGTAAAACTCGCGCCGCAGTAGTTCTCCACACGGACCTCTCGGCGGACGCTACTACGCATAGAGTAGTAGTAGTACTAGTAGAAAGAGAGAGAGAAAATTTCAGTCTCGCGCGCGTGTGTGTGCGTATATATTATTATTATACATATATACCTGCGCGAGCCGCGCGCGTTCGAAAAACGCCGCCGCCGCGGTTCACTTTTGTATATATATTCACACACACATACATATATATAGAAAATATACGTATGTATCACAAGCTCCGCGGGAAGGAGCGAGAGAGCAAGAGCGAAGAAGCGAGCGAGAGAGAGAGAGAGAGAGAAAAAGCGCATTCCTTTGGATACACACACCTTGGTAGCGCGGCGGCAGCAGCCTGCTAGACACACACACACACACACACACACACATATGAGTATATAGCGTGTGTGTGTATAAGTATGTGCTACGAGGTATATAGTATATACCACTACAACCGCGAGCAGCGGCAGCAGCAGCTCGAGTCATGTGAAGGAGTGGAGAGAAGAGAGTCCCGGAGAGTAGTAGCGAAGTGAGAGATGACGCGTTCGCCAGGCAAAAGCGGTACCAATAACCGCTTACCTGCTTATTTATCCGTAATCGAGATTATCCGCGTCGTCGTCGTCGTGTAGTAAAAAAAAAAAAAATTAAAAGTAAAGCGTCGTTGGTGTGTTTATCGTTGTGTTTTTTCTCCTACTTTTATTTGTTGTTGTTGTTTTCGTTCCTGTGTGTTGTACCGTGGGTGCCCGCGACGACGAAGGAAGAAATATATAGATTCAGAAGAGAATTGCCTGCAGTCTGTGTGCAGTGTGTGCAGTGTTTTTCTATACTCGTGGTCGTGTGTAACATTGGCAGATCGTTGTGCATGTGCTGCTGCTGCAACTGTGTGTCGATGATGATGCCGCGCCGATGACGACGACGACGATGATGAGGAAGAAAAAAGATCGTCGTTGCGATGTGTATGTGTGTCTGTGAAAGTGCACGTGATATACGTATATGAAGTAAGAAGAGAAAAGGAAATTTGTACGAAGAGAAATAATTTGACAGTGGTGTGTGTGTGTGTGTGTGCTGCAGAGAATACAGTATTTTAGACAGCGAGGACGACGCCTCGTCGTTGCGTCCAACGGGGCATTTCTCCGCGTTGTCGTTGTTGTTGTTGGGTGCGATTGTATAAAGTGGTATAAGTATATAAAATACAAAAATATCGGAGTCTGCTGGTGCATCGTGTAACGTTTCGCGCGTTACATAGCGTTGTTTGTTGTTGGCTGTGCTCTGTTGCGTCGCTGACGAACGAACAAACAAAGTCAAACTGCTGGGCTGAAAGATCGGTTTGGTTGGTCGTTTTTGTCGAATACAAACGAAAAATAAAACGAACAACCATCCCCCGCCGCCATGAGAATACTGAAAACGCTGCAATGGTAGGCATTCGCACTTTTTTATACACCTTAGTATTGTTGTTTTTATTTTTTTTTGTACCTTGAGATCGTCTGAAAATTCTCGCGAGTCGTGCAGAAAGACTCTGGGATTTTTTTTTTACATTTTGTGGCGAGAGATGACCACCTGTACATATATATGCGTATACGTGTGTGGATATTATAATATACACACACACAAACATACACACTGGGCACACATATATACACCTGAAAACGGCGTCAATTTTCGTCGCGTATTTATATAAAAGCCACGAATTTTTCGTGTCTCGCTCTGTCTCTGTGTATGTATATAATTCACACATACATACAGGCACACATATACTCGAGCGCTGGCGCGTACCTGTGCGCGGTTGCGTATATCTTGGAATTTACACCGACGACGACGACGACGACGACGCCCGTAGTCGTCTCTCTCTCTCTCTCGGTCTCTCATTCTGCGCTTATACCGGTTTTTTTTCTCATCTCGAGCCTCTCTCTGCTGGCTGGCTGGCTGGCTCGCTCGCTGCTTTTCTGGCCGGAGAGTCGCGGCACAGGATTCGTAATAAACCTCCGAATAACGCGCGCCAGAGAGAACGAGAGAGAAAAAGAGAGTCCTTGGGCTTGGAAACAATTTTCAGGCCTCGATAAGCCGCAGCAGCATAACGTGTAGCACGACGATGATATTATATTGTACACACGGGTGTCGAGATTGATTAGATTCAACGTCGATTGTATATACTTGACGTTCGCGACTAATCGATACGATACCAGCATAACACGAGCGTGCGCGCGGGTTTTTTTCATAATATACACAATAATTTATTAAAGAAAAAAGATATTAATACGAAAAATGGAAAATAACAGAGACACCGCGCAATGGAGCCGTGTTTTATATTATAATATATTTTTGCAATTCCTCCTTCTGCGAGAGCGGAGTGGAGCTCTATTATACGATCGCGAACGACGACGACGATATGTACAGGAGGACGAAACTGTATTTCATTCCGCGTTCTCTACAGTTTGTGCGCTTTAAATTCCTTCCATACACACATGCATGTGCTGCAGCAGTACTATATACATCTATCTACCTTTTGATACACACGCTCGCGGGGTAATTGCTTAAACCTTTTCAATGGACTCGATTGTTTCCCCCTCGGCTGTTGCGATGCATTCGCAGGAATGTTTTGGGAGAATTATAAGATAGATAGAGAGAGAGAGAGAGAGAGAGAGAGAGAAATAAAAAATCGTCTTCGTTTTTCCTGCGCTACGCGAATCCGCGCGAGGAAGAAGATGCATCATCGCGGCAGCGTATTATGAATCACTGCCCGTCGCTTTTCGCGCGCACGCGCGACTAATACACGAAAGAAGAAGATGAAGAAAAAAAAATCGAGGCGAAGAAGGAAAAACACGTTTTCCTTGAATGGAAAACATTATCATTATCGGTGTTCGCGATTGTGTTGTTTCTCTCGGAGACGTGTGTATCCATAATGTATCGCAACAGACACACACACACATGTGTGCGTGTGACGTACGTATACGTGTCTCGCTACTGATCGCACTCGTGTCTGCGCTTGTACATTATATATTTTTTTTTCTTTCTTCCCGCGAGCACACCTGCCCTATAACACGCACAGGTGACGTTGGGGAGTCCCCCCGCACACAGGGGAGGTATATTACACACAGCCGAGATTCGATCGTATAAAGTAAATATAAAACAAGTGGGGGAAAGTGGTCCGAGCGCGTCTCATCCTCTCGTCGCTAATGACACTTGATCAATCGTCCGTATACTCCTCTAACGCAATGTTAATTTTCGAATTTAATGATATGCGCAAAAGGTTGTAACAACTGCTGCGAGGAGGACCCAATGAGAGTACGATGACGAGAGAGAAAAGAAGAGAATAAAAAAAAAAAACATAACACCGGGGGAAAACTAGTACGACTTCGTTCCATGGGAATCTCGTGAACTAGATCTGACGGACTCGCCGCCGCCGCCGCCGCTGCTGCTGTTCTTCGGGTTTATATAGCGTTCGTTAAAATACCGCGTTAGAGCCGCTGCGTGAGTAGGAGAGTGCTTGATACATACATGTATATATCTAAAAGTACGTAACTCGGGCGCGCACTTGTGTCGAGATTTTTCTTCTTCTTCTTCTTCGTCTTCTTTTTTCACCTGCGTTTTCGGGCACTAAGGGACTCGGCGTAATTGTCAAAAAGTTCCCCGCAGCGTCTTGATATTATACCCCCTCGAGTCGTTTCACGGGAAAAGTTTAATCACCTCTCTCGCTCGGACGTTATCACGCTCTGTATAGCACGCGGCCCGATGCACACACATACACAGACATTTACATTTAAATGCTGCATAGCCATAATAGAGAGAGATATAACTGAGACATTTAAAAACCGATGTGAATTGTTGTGTATATATATAATTGTATATAAGCTATACACACAAAAGTGTGAAAAAGCAGATGATCGTTTCACGCGCGGACGAGTACACGAGATAAGAAAAAAAAGTTCGTCCGAATTATTTTCCTTTCCGTTCCGCGATCCGTGTGCATTCCTCCGATATACACCAACACAAAAGGAGCGCTCCATTGTATAAGCTAATAATGTATATCTAATAATAAACGCAAACACGTGCGCGCGCGCGAGTGGATAGAGAAAATTTTCCCATACATCGTGTGTGTGTGTGTGTGTGTTTGTGTGTATTATAAGCATATTATTACTCCGAAAACAACAACAGGCAGCATCTCATCCTATCCTACAATACATAAAAGAAAGAGTATCCACGGAGCCAGCTCATTATAAAAGCGTATATAGCCTCTCTCTCTCTCTCTCTCTCTCTCTCTCTCTCTCTCTCTCTCTCTCTGCACCGATAACAGGCCGAGTGGAAAAACGAAAAAATTAACACGATCGACACGTATATAACACACACACACACATATGCCCAGGCACGTTCCTGTCTCTCGTTTGCTCTCTCTCTCTCATAGAGGTGATCACGAGCCGAGTCAGCGCGAGGGAATCCTGTTCCAGGCGACGCCCACACGATCGGGAATTTTTCATATAAAAATCGCGTGTGTGTGCTGCAAGCTTGGCGCAAGAGAGAAACCGGATGACTCGGCCAGTATAAACTATATATACGCACACACACATACACACACGCACACACAAACACTTATATAGCGAGAAAGTCAACGTACGTACACACACTATGTGCGCTAGGCCTTTTAAAGGATTTATATCGATTCGCTGTAGTAGTCGGGCGGTGATTTTAATAAGAAAATTAACCGATTTTTCTATTTTCTCTGCGTTACGCTCGAAAAAAATGATATACATACGATGTATACATCTGAAGCGAGTGGCTGGTCAAAGTGCCGCGGCCGAGCATGCCGGCGCTGCCCCGCGCGCTGCCGGTGGCGATCAGCATCGGCGCAGGCTTGAGGAAAGCCACCAGCACGGCGGCACCGGCCAAAAGAAAGCGCGAACTGAAACGGCGCAATGCCATTAGGTATTTGGAATTACGTTCAGACAAGAAAAAAAAGGATAATTATATATATATTTTGTCATTAGTTACTATACTGAGTCGGCCGTTGAATCGTAGCTATATATATTTGCGTAATTGTATCAAAAATGTAGACGATATGTGCGTAACGCTTGTTTTTCTATGAAGTAGCGCTAGAAAAGTATATCATCACAGTATATATTGACACTCTATTTTCACCTATATAATAGGTCGTCGTCGGATCCGTTTTTTGCCCCTTGTCTTTCCCCAATGGCATTTTCGCGCGCGCGCGTATATGGAGATAGTAAGAAAAGAAAGAAGATCCGTATAACGCAAATCCGGATTACGGTAGCCTAGATTCAACCACCGACTTACACACGTCGTCGTCGCGGGGGCAATGTGTCTCGCACAGTCGTACTGTACGTTTTTTTTTTTTATAGATAATACCGGCCGGTGAGAGCCGTGTCTCGTTGAGAGGCCTCTCTCGCTCGCTAAACTGTTTTTCTTTTCTCGCGATGATTCGCTTCTTTTATAAATTGAGCGATGTCGGATTCGTACACTCGAAAAATGATCATCCCCGACGTATGTAAAACACGTATAAGCGGTATATACACGCCAACATCGAATTTTCCATCATCGTATCGCGAGCGAGCGCCGCGAAAAAACGTGTAATTTCCACGTTTCTCTTAAACGTAACGTAACTGTAAATTCTAAGCTGCTGCTAGGCTACTGCTGCTGCTGCTGTTTGCTCCATATATATGCAATTGCAGCTCTGCGCGGACTGCGGATATATATGCATTTGTATCGTATAAGGAAGGAGCAGCTCTCGGGTAGTCTCGGCGATAGTATTAATGGTACTGTATCTATCTATACTGTATATACGAAAGTCGAGATGCTCGCGCACATTGGATGCCATGATATGATTACAATACAGAGAGATAGAGGCACTTCTTCTCTTTCTTTCGCGACGATATTATAATTTTTTTTTTCGTTTCGTTTCTTTTGTACACAATAATACGAGCTATATGCGTGCTCTCGGTTGAACCCGAACAAATATAAGCTTCTTTTGTGGCCGAGGCATTTGTACGAAATACGTATAGAGAATATTAAAAGAGGGATCTTGTGTTTTTCGGTGCTCTCGCAATATGAAACGCGTGAAAAGGGATGAATGGGCCGGAGCAATCACGTGTACTGCCTTTACTTCTTCTCGTTCTTATTCGTATATTTCCACGCGCGGGCGTATATAGGAGCGATCTCGCTCGATTCTAATCGAAATCACGGGAACGCGTAACATCAAGAAGAAGATCCACCGCTGTGTATACATGTTATAAAACGTAAAAAACGTTACGAGATGCTTTTTATATTGGCGCAACGTCTACACGTGTATATATGCGAGTAACGTGTAAAGATCATTGCCGGGCCGAAAATATTTAGAAAGCTCATTGCGTCTCGCGTTCACGGCCACGCGATGTATATAACGCACTAATACTAAACTCGAGTTGTGTTTTCGTGCGTAGCATGTGTGCCATTGTGTTAAATTCAAGCCTTTCTCTCTCTCTCTCGTGGTGTGTATAAATGCGTTTAGACATTTCTGCTTGTACGTGTATACATACGCCTGCAGGGTGTAGCGCCGCCGCCGCGTGTGTATTTAATCTACGATACGCGATTACACATGCACAGCGAGGCATAATAATATATAAGTGAAAGCTACGTGTGTATGTATGAGGCCCCAATTTTTATCGCTTATCATTACATTATATGTAGGTATATGTTTTTAACTCTTGACTTAACTCGACGAGGACGTTTACCTTTTACTTTATACAGTACGAAAACGAGCCCAGCACGTGTTCTATACGCAATCATTAAATAGGACTCGTGGATATCGCGTATCGATCGGTTCGCGCGCTCATCCTTATGGCAACCCCAGGCTGAAAGTAAAAACAAGACATTCCACGCGTGTGTCATAATTATTCCTGCGCATTGTACGTACATTATATTATCGTTTTTCCTTAACTCTCTCACCGCGCAACGACTCTCTTGACCGATCGGTATGGCCAATTAATAGGCTGCTTTATTACTCGGCTATATACATATTATATCTCTCTCTCTCAGCCGTCTCGCTCTGCGCGGCAATGACTCGGCTCGCTCACGGTTGCATAAGGCTTGAATCATGCATACCTGTGTGTATCTAAAAGCGCGGGAAAGTCTCACGAGGAACGAATGCGACGTATACGTATACGATAATAATTTTCTGAATCAGCTTGCAGGTGTGCGCGCACGACAAAAAAAAAAAATTTTTCGATTTCGCGCGAAAAACGCCTATATTATACACGTGATTCAGACTCGAAGAAATTTTATACGGCTCGCTTCCTCTCTGCCGACGTTTGCGGACTTGGCCTGCGTTGCTGCTGCTGTTGCACACGTGTTTATCGCGATATACCTTATAGCTACAGCAGGCTGAAAATAAAACTCTGTCCTCTCGGTGTATATAATATAGTTCGGAGAGACTCTCTCTCTCTCCTGTTTCGTTACATTATATTATATTATAGGCGCTCACGGTCGGTCGCAGCGCAAAAAAACGGGACTTTCGTACATATATACATATCTCGTTAAACGTGTAATCGGCAAGGACCTTTCACATTTCTTTGCGAGCGCGACACATCGATTGTTGCGCAATATCGACGACGCAATACAACATGTCTATTGGATATAAACAAAGGTCGCTAACCGAGAAAACGAACTCGCGTGTTGTGTAGTTTTATCGTGTACAACACACACAAACACACACAAGTCGCGGACGACCGCTTTCGTAAGATTACTCGCTGCCTTACTTTATTATTAACCTTCTTTTTGCTTCGTCTTCGTCGCGGATTAAATTATAAGCTTGCGACTGCGTGTATTATGCAAAGATATTTACACGAGGCGGTAAATGATTTTTATCTGTAAAAAAAAAAACACGTTATTAAGCTAGATATACAATTTCCCGAGCGTAGGTGTGTCCCTTGTACATGTATACGCTATAAATCCCAATGATATATCAAATTTCTTATGCGTATCAATTTTACTAATCGGATTTTTTTCTCTTTGTCTGAATTGCAGGTCGCGAAGTCGTAGCGGCAGCGGCGTTTCAGGAAGCGGCGTTCAGCAGCAGCAGCAGACGCAGTTACAGCAGCACCAGCACCAGCAGCACCACGAGGCGGTGCATCCCGATGAGATGTGGGCCCAGGGTCACCCGATCCAGGGCCACCATCGGGAGCTGCCCGTCGACGTGCCCGACACCCTGCTCCAGCAGGCTTATCCCAACAAGGTAATGCAACAACAAACGCACAATAACGGCAACAACAACAAATCGAGCCACCATCACCACCAGCATCCACGTACCTCGGTACTGGTGCCGGTCAATACGCCCCAGCCGCCGCCGATAACGATACAGGGCCCGCCGCCGCCCGTTAAAGACCGAAGAACGACGAAATCGAAGACGAGCGCGAACGGCGATAATAACGATAATAACGTGACGAGCGCGTGTCAGAGCGCCGAACCGCAGGCGCCCGTAGTCAACAATAACGCGATGACTCGCCCCCTCAGTCCCTCGCAGATCGGTTTCGACTTTATAAATACGTCGCCACCTCCGGTTCCGCCTCATCATCCGATCAAGCACGTGATAATCGAGGACGTGCTCAAGATGGATCTGCACAAGGACCCGTTCGAGGACGAGGTCGAGGACCACTTCAACGGCCACAAGGAGTCGTGCGTCGACGCCATCGACGAGGACTATCCCTTCGCCAAGGAGGACTATCCGACGATGCTCAAGACCTGCAGCGACGACTCGGCGAGTCCGAGGAGTTCTAGCGGGCGCTCGGACAGCACGGTGCCCCTCGACAGTAGCTTGGTGCTGAGGACCAGCCAGCTGTCGGCCGGTGGTGGTGCCGCCGATCCGCCGTTGCACGAGCATCCGTTGCGTCATCATCGTCATCAGCTGCTGAGCAGCGTCAAGAAGAGCACGACGACGACGACGACGACGACGACGTCCTTCGAGAATCCGGCCTACGGCATGCCCATCGAGGAGACAGACGTGATTGTCGTGGCGAGCGGCAAGATGCCCAGCAGCAAGAGATGCGCCAGCGATCTCAATCTGCTGATCAGCGACGATCCAAGGCCCGCCAAGGTCAACGGTCAGATCGTCAACAACAACAACAAGACCATCGTGGAGATCGGCGGTGGCGGATCGTCGGTACAGGAGCAGCATGCGATTATCAAGCCGCCACCCGCAGGCATGATCAAGATGCCGTCGCAGGGCAGAAAGAAGAAGGCCAAGGGCCCCGAGGCCGAGAAGCTACTACAGAGGATGGCGTCGAGCGACGAGCTCGACGTGTCGCACGAGAGGACCTCCTCGGCCTCGTCCGCGTTGTCGCGTCCGCGCAGCAGCAGCAACAACAACAAGAAGAAGAACCAGTGGTCGAGCGGCTACTCGACCCTGCGCAGCGACGTATCCTCGTCCGCGGATTACGATCAGGTCGATCATCATCATCATCATCATCGTCCGGTCGTGCTCGTCAACAGCAAGCATTATCGCGAGGTCGCGGTCGACTGTCCCGCGGATTTCGTGCCCGTTACCAAGAGCCACCCGGTCTATCCCCCGCCGTCGCGATCCAACACGCTCGACAATAACAAACAGCGCGCGTCGACTCTGACTTCGGTGAAGAGCGGCTCCTCCTTGAACGAGGACAACAAGACTTCTTCTAGTAATGCAGCTGCGGCGGCGGTGGTGGCTGCAGGCGACGTCGTCTGCACCGCCAATAATAACAACAAGAAGGTAAGGTCGAGGTCGAGGGTTCGAAGCCTACTGATCGATGGGTTGCGCGCGGCTTGCATCACTGCATCTCATAACAATTCACTAGCACTATCACCACCACCAACACAACAAGCACAAGCACAAACAAAAATCACGAAAAAAAAGAGCTTCAGCACGCCCAAGTTCCTATGCACTAACACAGCCGGCGAGCACGAGTCCTCGGTGCTACCGGGCAGTCCCGGAATCGCGTCCGTCTCGAATTATCAAGCGCGCTTCAGCTACTTCAAGGACGAGGACACGCCAATCTATTACGACGAGCCGAAAAATGCCTTGTCCTCGCGACCGACCTCCACGTGCTACGTGGTCGGCATCAAGGAGGGCGTCGACAGCGAGACTCGCGTGATCGAGCCTCACGAGGAGGTTGTAGTAGAAGACGTGGATATCGTCAAGCCGGTCGTGAAAGTTGTCGAGTCGGGCGATGCTGACGAGGTGCTGCACATACAGGAGCGCAACGAGAACTCGAGAAACAGCTTCGTGAGTCGCGCGAAATTACAGCAGCAGCAGTTCTGTTTCTCCTCGTCGACGCCGAAATTAGACGGCAAAGACGAGGGGATGAGGTTTCCCGTAATAGTCGACGACGACGACTCGCCGATCACGCAGAACTCGAACAACTCCAGGCTCTCTCTGGCCTATCGCAAGAGATGCCGGGCTCAGTTGCGCCGTAACGATTCCGACGTGACGAAAAGCGCCCTCAACCTGTCGGGTTACAAAGACAATCGTCTTAACGACGACGACGCGGACGCCATGCAGAACTGGGCGTCGGACTCGAGAATAGACCTCGTCACGGTCGTTACGCCGAGAAAAAAATTGACGTTGACCGCGTCGTCGAGGGCGTCGCGCGCCTGGCCCCCCGACCTCTTGACGAGGATTAACCAGACGGGGGTCGACGACGACGACGACAAAGATCCGTTGTACGAGGACACGAGAGGCGTAAAAAAATTGATCAAGGTAAAAATTTCCGCACGCGGGTTTGACGTTTGTGAACTACTCTCTCTGTTTTGGTTTGCGAGTGAAGAATATCTCTCTGTCCGGAAAGTTATAGAGGATTATAAGGGACGTGTGTTTTTATTTCAAAAAGAAAAAAAAAAGAAGCGAGATGACGGCTCGAGGCTTTTAGAATTCAATGAGGTATTACATCGCACTGAAAGATCCTGGCGTCGCTCGCACTATACTATCTTATACTTGGTACCTTACTCCTGCTTCCTCTTGGGTTATGGAAAATCTGTTCTCTTACGTTAAAATAAAATGCATGAATTATCGATGATGGTATACACACAAAAAAACAATACGCTTACGCACGTAACAACATCATAATATATAATTTTTAACATTTTATACAATGGGTATAATTTGAAAATTTGCAAGACGATGCGCCTAGTAGATCTTTTCCTTTTCCTCTCTCACACGGTGATGGGTGTTTGGTAGAGAGCATCGAGTCTTGTGAATTTTCGATTCAATCACCATTTAACATCAAATTAAACTCATGTAAAACCATCGATCAAAAAAATATACGACGAAAGTTCAGCGACGTGTGTGCAGTATAAAATCAACAATATATTCCTTCGCAGCCCACGTGTGGAAAAAACCGCGAACCAAAGCGACCAAAACCAACCTTCCGTGCCTTTTTTTTCTCGTTTCAGGCCGGTCTCAACGGTGTCAAGCCAGCGATACCGCCGCGCGATCAGAAGCGCGCCCCGGCCCGGCCGCCCAAGGACAGTCTGCGTCTCGCCGGTCAGAACAACAACGTCGTCGTCGACGCCGACGTCGTCGAGCAGCAGCACCAGCCGACGGTCAAGCACGAGCAGCCGACCCAGCAGCAGCTGCATTCCATCAGAAAGTATCAGGTGCGCCGCAAACGACATCAATTTGTTGTTTCTCTTCTTTTTTTAGTTTTTCCTGCTCCGTACGTACTACGACGAGATTATAGTATATGAACGCGATGCGCGCGCGATGCATAATTTCGTCCATTATTATACGTCTCGGATGTTGCCTCGTTTTTTTTTTACATAGACAACGCGCTTATTAGACCGAACGGAGCTTTTTCTTCATAAAAGAGAGATAGAGAGAGAGATCGCGATTTAATCGTTAGTTGAAAGAGAAAGAAAAATGTTGTCAGCAATTGCAGTATACACTAGTGGCTATTTCAAATATGTTGTTGCAATTGCTTCGCGATTTCTCGACTAAATGATTGCCTCGTATACACGCGCTATGACTTTTTTTTTCTACACGCCCCTATCCCGCTGCGCATATCATAATTTCATTCATTCGGTATGCGAATCTTTGGGGGGAGGTAACGTTGAGCTTCTATGAACGAGGACTGCGCACAAAACGCCTCGTTCGCCGAATTCGTTCCTCGAGTATACCTGTAGTGTGTTTGTTGTATCATGCACACGATGATTTTTTAAAGTAAAAAAAGAACGATTCTCCGGACTCATCGTATAGGCCTATTGTCTCTTTCTCTTGTTCTAGTTTACCGTACAATATATATAAATGTAGAATCATCATAAAAGCAGAGCAGCAGCAGCACGATTCGAAGCGACGAGACTTGCGATTTGGCTCATTAAACACGATTTTGCGTTGACCTTCGCGTCTATCGTTGGGATGAGCACACACACGTTGTTGTTCTCTCCGCGCGCGCGACTCGACTCGCCGGATGATGACTCTATACACATAGATACGCATTATAAATGTACAGTGTACTTGTACACACGCCACTCGATGATACTGCGATCGCGTGCGCAACGACGATGATATGTACACTCGAACCAGGACGCGTATACGAGTGTATTATACGCGTGCTCTGTGGTGTAACCCTCGCGTCGCGCGGCGCAAAATTAATCGAATTCGATTAAAATATAGAAAAAAAATAAATAAAAAATAAAGCACACGTACTACTCGAGATGTAATCGTAAAACTATATATCCGCTGCGTACGCGTCACGTGTCGCAATTTCGTTTCAACGATGTATTTACCTAATCGACCGGCGTATGATGTATGCCTCTCTTATCCTTTAACGCGCGCAGTCGGGCGTGACGCTCGAAATCGTATCGAATACGTATTATTGCAAGTTTTTTGAAATAAGTGATCCCAATTATACGTGACTATGATATTGTTGAAATCGAATGATATTTCGTCTAGTATCAAACTAACTTTTTAATGGAACAATTTGATAATTAATTATACGATGATTGTTAAATTTAATAGTAACTAGAGTTCGAATGCTCATTAGCCGAAAGCAATCATGCAAACTTAACAGTATTGTACAAAAAAAGCCTTAATCATGATTCTTACCTGACCGACTGTCTCTATCAAATTTGCTGCGATTCTCAAGATATCGTCTACAACACAAATCGATTACGCGATAATTTTCATACTATGTTGAAAATAAAGAATGCAATGTGATAACTAAATATGTTCTTGATGTTGAGTTAATTTACCCGATGTTGATTTGAAATTAAGTAAAAGTGGATAAGTAAATCCATTCTAGACGCAAAAGAATGTACAATTACAATTTTCATGAAATGTATGATAAAATGAATGTCTTGAATTTGATAGAAACGGCCGGATAAGTACAATCACGAGTAAAGTCTTTTTTTATGAACCACTACTATTAACTTCACAAGTGATTCGTGATTCGAGATAATGTATACAAATTAACTTCATAAATTAAATTCGTAAATAAACAATACTATTAATTTTATCTAAATTTAATTTTTTTCGGTAAAGTTTGTTGAAAGTTCACTTGTAATGCACTGCTGTTCTTGAACAAATTGTGTTTTGTTGTTAGAATTTACTAAACTTTTTCAACCAATTTTTCACTACTCTTATGATATCGAGACTACAATTGATAGAAGGGGTAACAGTCTTATGAACAAGGTATGAATAAAGACCCCATAACAATTACCACCCTGATAATTTAACTTTTTTCCTCTTTATTAAAAAAATGTGACTAAATCATACAAACAATTTAGAGTAGAATGCCACAAAATCATATATAATTGCAAGAGTATTTACTTTTATCAAAGATATAAAGAGATTGGTGTAATGTATTGATAAAATTACAGATTGTATTACTAAAGTTAAATAAGAAATTATTTAGAAAAATATTATTTCTATCTGTACAAAACTCAATTTTATTTTCTATTTATCTCTGAACGCGCGATTAAATAATATCGCCGAAAAATGTAGAATTATACTTTTATACATAAGTAATCAGAAATTTGAATTAAATGCTTGCATAAAAAAAAATTAATCTTTTTGGCAACGGATGCTTTAAATCATTTTCGTTTGCCTGCTCGTAAAAACGGAATACATTTTCGTTATTTCAATATTCTGAAATTATTTAGCAAAAATTATGTTCTCAATTATGGTTTTCTATTCAATATACAATCAACTGTAATGAATTGAAAAAAATTAAAAAATTAAAATTAAATCAAAACTTAAAACTGTACTTTTCCTAAATGAATAATGAATTGAAATAAGGTGACAACTGACATGCGTTCGATATGCTGCCACCTTTGTATATGTGTTATTTGACCGTATATGAAAAAAATTGCGAGATGAGACACTTTTTTATGACTATTAGTTAATAAAACTGGAATAAAATTAAAAGGAAAGAATAAAATCCAAGCAAATTATTAAATTCATTTTTTTTATTTATTTCGATTGTAACACACATGGCTGTACAAAAAAAAACTTAGGAGAGTAGTTTGAGCGTTAACAAAGCACAAAACTATTTTTTTTCTAAATTAATATATTTATTAAAGCTCAAGTATTATTTTTTTTTTCATTCATTCGTACTTGTACTTATACGTATGCCTTGCAGCACCTTTATTGTATTGTTCAAAGTTGTTTCGTTATCCGATGTTTCAGTCGCCAAACAAATATTATATAAATCTTTGTTCATGAATGACTCATCTATGATCATTTCGCACATCTCAAGCGGCAGACGATAGTGCATCAGTTCCTTGAAAGAATCCAGTGCCCATCGCCGGAAAAATTTTCTCGATAGTTTCTCGCACAGATGCACTTCACAAAGCTTCCTGGGCTCTTGGTTGAACATATACAATTTTGACGGAAATGCAAACTTGTAATAGTCTGAACACGTAAGTTGTTTTGCCGCCTCATGGGGACGTAACTGGATCGAGTCGAGGAGTGACAGCTTCGAATTCATCATTATGTTTTTCGCTATTGCCGCAAACTCCTCGTCGTCATACCAACATTTTCCAGAATCCGATGACTTCTCGTACAAACCGTACTTGGAGAATAATTTCATGACGATCAGAGCGTCACTTCGGTCCAGTTCGTATCCTCTTTTCTCAAGGTGTTCGACGATGGACATCAGACCACACGCTAGCCTCAATTTCAAATCAAGCGGCATTTGGAAACTCTTTTCAAAATAACTCACTGCGGGGAAGACGAAGCTCGACACATCAGCGCCATGTTCCAAAAGTAAATCGACAGTATTCGGCAAGACATGTGCCACTGCCAATTGAAGAGGTGTCCTACCCTCATTGTCCTTGGCATCGACCTGCACCGTCCGCTGATCGGCATTGTTGATCTCGAAAAATACCCTCATAAGTTTATCACCATCGTCTCTTCTACAAATCTCATGAAGAGGAGTCGATCCTTTTCTATCTGTCAAATTCGGATCAGCCCCTCTTCTTAGCAGTGCTTCAGCCGCCTTCTTGTTGCTCCAACGTACAGCCAAGTGCAATGGTGTGGTACCCCACTCGTCTTCGGTGTTGACCTGAACCGGCTGATGTTTTTCGTCGACGATCTTGAAAAACTTATCCACCAAGTCGCCATTGCATTGGCCACGGCAAATAATGTGCAGAGCTGTCTGCCCATGTGCGTTGGTTAAATAGGGATCGGCGCCTCTCCTCAGCAGACACTCGACTACCTTCGCGATGCCCCGTTGTAAAGCCAAGTGCAGCAGTGTGTTACCATTACTGTCCCGGGCGTCGTCCAGCACCGTCAACTGCATGTCATCCATGATCTCGAATAACAGCTCGACCGAGTCATCGTCGAATTGACCTTTGCCCATATCCAGCAGTGTCAAACTGGGGTTGGCGCCACGTTCGAGTAGTAGCCGTGCCACCTCGTTACATTTGTTAGACAGAGCCAATTGTAACGGCGGTTCGATTAATTTTTGATACACAATTCCGAGCCTAGTCATCAAAATATAATCCGGCGAACGAACTGAGATTGGTACTTCCTCGAGGCCATTGGGATCTTGTCCGAGCTCGAGAAATCTCTTTACGACTTCGTAACAACCAAATTTGCAGGCTACACGAAAATGTGTGTCGTCGTTCTCTTGGTCGAAGTAAGTCACATCGCACCTGGGATATATTTCAAAAAGCTTGCCGACGACGGAGCTGTGATTGTATTTAGCCGCCCAGTGTAGTGCCGTGGTGCGACGCACGAATGGCCGGCTGGCTTCTCTGACGATTTTTTTGGGCTCGTCCTTGTAGCCGGTTTCTACCACAAAGTCGATAAATCGTTCTCCTATACCTTTATTCAGGTTCCTTTTCCGGTAGTTTACAGAATCCTTGAGTAGAGTGTCGATTTGGTCCGGCCGAAAAAGGTCTCGAAGATCGGGAAGTTGGCCCTGCCAATCTCTGATTAAAGGGTCAAGTTGACGAAGAAATTTATATCGCTCCGATGTACCCGCCAATTGGAACTTTTCACGCATAATCTTCAGTCTCTCTATACTTTTTTGGTTAAGCTGATGCACGTGTTCGTCGTTTAACGTCATCTTCAGCACTCAAACTTTCACTTTCACGATTTTTCTCTGCGCACACTTCGGCTTCTCAATGGGTACTGACCAACGGTGGACAGACATTAAGATATATTTAGAAACTCGATACTGGCGCCGCAGCGGTTCGAGTGGTCAGAAACAACGTCAGTCGTATTGAACTATGCGTGGGTGGATTAGGGCTATGATACAGAAATTGAAACATACATAGGAATACGGAATTCCATGTTTCAACGGAAAATTGTGTGCATCTCAGTATAAAGTTCATTTGTTCAAATGAACGAAAACAACCTCCTCAGTAGATAACCTTAATATGGATTAGAGTTAATTTCAAATAACTTCATATAAAAATTGCATAATCTACTTAAAAATCGTAGTCATCAACGTAATTAGCTTTTTCATGGTACTGAAAGAATGTACTCCAAAAATATCGCAACGATTAGTTGAATCGTTTGTCGAATAAATTTGTAAAAAAAAACCCCGTAAAGTCAAAATCAGAGCGATTTCGCTTGCTCGGCATCGCTATATTTACCCGCGTGTATAAAACTTTCGCAGATTAGAAAATTATCCGCTCGTTTGTTCCCGCGCGCGCGAACGAAACCGCCCAGTGCTGCAACCAGCAGCGACCGATAAAGCGCGTATGAAATAATACAAATGTGCATTATATCTGTGCAGCTGCAGACTAACACACACACACACACACGAGCGCGGAGATACCGCCTCGCGATTATTATTATATACACACACATAATCCGAAACGTGTAATCAATTAGTTGTTTCGTATACGCGCGAAAGACACACGAGCGCGTTAATAAATTGCCGCGAAGCATTGAAAAATGAGGAAAAATCGCGTTAATGAATCAGCGCGCGCGCGTAAATCGCACGCGCCAACGTTACCTCTATTATCGTACGGGGCGAGCAGTGCGAGAAAAGATCTCGTGCATGTGCCTCGCCGAGAGAGAGAGATTACAATTTCATATTGCGATATGGGCGTACTTTGTACAGTGTATACGGGTACAGTCGTCGCGATCGTTGATACACGCTCGAAACGTAATGTACGTCTGCGGATAATCTTACGTCATAATAATACGAGAGAGAAAAAAAATTACGTTTACCCGCGCGAGAAATCGCGATGGCGATATCGAATCGATACGGCTGCAGTACCAATCCTATCTTATATATTATTATAGATATGACTCAAAAGATCGATGTTTTTCCATCTCGCGACGAAGAAAATGCGTATACACATGCAATATCGCGTCCGTATCGATACGCGTGCAGCATTTGCAGAAACGTCGCTCGCGCGATCTATTGCACTCTTTTAACGGGATTGATACGCGCGCCTTTGGGTGCACCGTTGCTTTAGACGACGACGACAACCAGACGCGCACTTGTATTTATAAGTTTAGCAGCGTCAGCAAAGGCGACATTAATCGAATCTAGGACGTTTATATCGAGCGAGATATATGTACACGCGTCTAATGAGCTTATAAGATTGAAAACTTTTCTTTTTTTCTTTCGTTATAACCATCGACATTTTTTTTTTTTTAATTGTCGATTCGTCGAAAAAAAAAGGAGAGTGTCTGGGAAAATGTGGGATGATATTTATTTATTTAACGTATCAGGGTCGTACGCGTTTGCATATTATGCGTCGTTGACCGAAGCCCGCACACGATTATAATATATCTATGACGGCACGCGAGATACGGCTTCTTTCTACCTACAGGGAAGGCCTCTCTCTCTCTCTCGCACCGGCCGTTGTCTTCTCGGCCTAATTTTTCTTTCTCTCTCCGTCTGAACGACTGAAAAATTAACGTCTTCCTTTTTTTTCTCTACTTGTCTCGCGCAGGAAGAGTTCCGAAAGCGCAAGGATGAGGAGGAGCAGCGACAGGCCTACCTCAATCGCTCGCTGCGCACGGGCTCGCAGAAGCTGCAGAAGCTGGAGAGCCACGCGACGACGCTGGCGGGCCAGGAGAATCTGGCGTACGCCCAGGACGAGCTCGTGACGCCCCAGCAGCCGAAAATCGTCACCGCCAGCATCGGCACGCCCGCCCACTCGGACGTCGAGGAGCCCGCGCCGAGACCGTTGAGTGAGTATATTATCACATTTTATATTTTTCTCATCAGTGTAATTGAGGTGATATTAACGTTTATTCATGCTTTTTTAGCGTACGGCGAGGTGGTAGCCACACTCGGCCGACTGCAGCTGCAGATGAAGAGCATATCGGGCTGCCTGGGCATATCGGGCGCGTCCGTGGAGGCCGATCTCGAGGCCGTGCGCACGCTCCTGGTGCAGAGGCGCTTCGAGGCCGCCCTCGTAACGCATCACGAGCTCAAGTCCAAGCTGCGCAGCGGCAAGAGCCTCAAGCTGCACACGGACGAGGCTTCCGGCATAGCGCGCGACGTGATCGAGGCGCTGGAGGAGTGGTCGCAGCAGGCCGCGGCGTCGAGCTCGACGGCGGCCCACTCGGCCGAGCACATAGCCGCCGCCGAGGAGCTCGTCCAGCTGCTCACCAGCTACGAGATGGAGGGACTGCTGCTGGCGCACGACGCCTCCGTGACGCAGGTCGAGGGTCTGCAGCGGGGCGGTGGTGCTGGAGGACACGGCGCCGACGCGATGGTGGCCAGCGGTGCCGCCGCGGGTGGACCGCCCAGTAGTCCGTCGCCGAGCTCGCACGGCGACTCCAAGCTCGCCGACAACATCAGGATCATCAGGATCGAGAAGACGAACGAGCCGCTCGGTGCTACAGTGAGGAACGAGGGCGACGCCGTGATCATCGGTAATTCTTCGATTCGATTTTGATTTTGATTATTAAAGTATATACGTACGCGGAGGTGGCTGCGAGATTTGGTGATGGTGTCTGCGATACACGATTAAATCGAGATGTACGTGATTTTTGTAGGAAATGAGGATTTAGACTCGTTGGTGCTGGATATCGATGAAGGTTTATTGGTTTTTGTTGTCTTACGAGTGAACTGATTCTAAACGTTCTAACGGTTGTGCTGTTTAGACTGTAGAAACTAACAGTAACCGCGTAATAACGGCATGCTAAATAATCCGCGCGTTTTTGATGCGAGAGCCAATTCTTAACACAGAGAGAGAACATGCACCCGAACGAAAATCACGTGAAAATTTTAATTTCTCATTTTCCTCCTTCCTTTTCGCACAGGCCGAGTCGTGAGGGGCGGCGCCGCGGACAAGTCCGGCCTGCTGCACGAGGGCGACGAGGTCCTCGAGGTCAACGGCGTGGAGATGCGCGGCAAGAGCGTGAACGACGTCTGCGACATACTCGCGGGCATGCAGGGCAGCCTCACCTTCCTCATACTGCCGGCGCCGACCCAGCGCAACAACAACAATAACGCGGCGCGCGCCGGCAGCGGTGGCGGCGAGGATCAGCCGCAAAAAGTCCATCACGTGCGCGCCCACTTCGACTACGATCCCGAGGACGATCCCTACATACCGTGTCGCGAGCTCGGCGTCGGCTTCCAGAAGGGCGACGTGCTGCACGTCATCTCGCAGGAGGATCCCAACTGGTGGCAGGCGTATCGCGAGGGCGAGGAGGACCAGGCGCTCGCGGGCCTGGTGCCGAGCAAGGTCTTCCAGACGCAGTGAGTGTGATTCCTTTCTATCGCGCTCAAAATCGAGAGCTTTGTGTATCGATGCAATTTTTTTGTACCTTTTGCAGGCGAGAAAATATGAAGCAGTCGATGGCCAGTGACAAATCGTCGCTGAGAGGGCCGAAAAAGTCCAGCACCCTGTTATGTGCCAGAAAGAATCCAAAGAAAAAGAAGCGAGGTAAATTCGGCTACAATGACGATGCCTATCCCCTATACGCTACCTCGTCCGTTGACGGTATGTTATACTGTATATCATTCATCATTATTAAAAAAATGCTTCACTTTTTTTTCATAGCTTACACGTTTACATTTGCGCGAGAAAAGTTCAAAAAAGGTACAAAAGTCGATGTGACTTTCCCCCCCTGCTGTATTTTTCTGCACATTTTTTCAATATCAAATTTTAATCACACAATAATGCCAGACCCTGAAAATATACTCTTGTACAAATTGAATTATCCAGTTTTTAATGAATCTATACGTGTCGTGAGCGATACATTTATTTTTACTGCCTGCTCATTCAAAAACCTTGAAATTACAGATTACGAGACCGAGGAAGTTTTGACATACGAAGAAGTGGCCTTATACTATCCCAGAGCCAATCACAAGAGGCCCATAGTGCTTATCGGGCCACCAAATATTGGCAGGCACGAGTTGAGGCAGCGACTGATGCAGGATAGCGAAAAATTCGCAGCAGCCATTCCTCGTGAGTATCTTTAACTGATTCCCGATCGACGCTGTCTCGCGCACTATAAGAAGCGTCCATCGATTTACGACTCTCGTTTACTCTTTCGCAGACACGAGTCGCCCGCGCAAAGACACGGAAATCGACGGCCAGGACTATCACTTCATCTCTCGTCAGCAATTCGAAGCGGACATTCTGGGCCGAAAATTCGTCGAGCACGGCGAGTACGAGAAGGCGTATTACGGTACCTCGGTCGAGGCCATACGCAGCGTCGTGAGCTCCGGCAAGATCTGCGTGCTGAATCTGCATCCGCAGTCCTTGAAGATCCTGCGCACCTCCGATCTCAAGCCGTACGTGGTGTTCGTGGCGCCTCCGAGCCTCGAGAAGCTGCGCCAGAAGCGCATCAAAAACAACGAGACCTACAAGGAGGAGGAGCTCAAGGACATTATCGAGAAGGCGCGCGAGATGGAGGACAAGTACGGACACTTGTTCGACATGATCATCATCAATAACGACACCGATCGAGCTTACAATCAATTACTGAGCGAGATCAATTCGTTGGAGCGCGAACCCCAATGGGTGCCGGCCTCTTGGATTCATCAATAACATCGGCTGCAAAGTAGACGACTCGAGAGATGCAGACTCGAGTCTCTACAAGGCATCGAGAGCATCGAGAGCGATATCGTCCCGTAAAGTCGTGCATACGATTTTCTGTCATTTTTCTTTTGGGCCGACTAGCGTTCATTTTTATTTTATTTTTTCAATGGACTACTTAAGTTATTGTTTTTACGTTGATGTGGAAAATGATTGCGAGTGTGCGTTTATTTAATCTTTGCGTGCGCTTGTTGATTTTTATGTAACGTTTTTGAAAATTTTATTTATTATAACATTGTAATGACTACATTAAAACGACGCATGAAAGGTGCATGATTCGATTTTTAACGCGATTTTTGTAAATATTATTTCAATTTAGCAGTTGTACATAGTTGTGTGGACGATGAAAAACTCGTTTGTTGCGATTATATATCGCGAGGCATCATCGAGTAATTTGAGCTATATACTAGTGACTATCGAGAATTTAAAACGATACGTGAGGGAGGAACAATTCTAAAAAGAAAAAAATTTGTATATAATATACATATAAAAGGTATAGACATATTATAACCAGTTAATCATAGATTATTCATGTTGTTGACAAAAAAGTAACGATATAACATACATAAAAATTGGTTCGAGAAAAAATAGTTAAGAATTTCTTAAGAAACCAAATTTTCCGTTTCACTCTAGCGAATGCATAGTAATTGCATATTGTGATTTGATGAATTGAAGCTACAGTTTTCAAAAGAGAAAACTATTAACCTTTTATTGTCGAGCGTGTGATTGTTTAGATTAAAAAACGTGTTCCAGATAGTGCAAAAAATAAAGAAAAAAATGAATAAAAACTGTAGGCTCTCGTTGATGCAATATAGAGGTAGCTCAAGTCTCTATACCGATCGATTCAATCGTAAAATGTAAGAAAATTATAAACATAACATATGATACTTGTGCTTTCTTCGAACGCAGAATGTCTCAACATACAAAATGACACAAATAATACATAATGTATTGAATATGATACCAAACGTCTGTGTAATATTTAAACTCTTTTCTTCGGTCGGTGCGAAGAAATAATTTTTCATCATTGTTGAATTGTAATAATCACCGATAAGAATACGTCCATTTCGTCCATGTTTTTTGAACTGTATATTTATTGATAATCTTCTTTATTTTCGACAGTAATCGAGATCCTTAAAAATAAGTAATATTAACAAGATAACACGAGTACGCCCTTGTGCTCGACGCATAAACAAATGATACGATTTGAATAATTATATCATTTTTCTTCTTCGAAAGAAAAGAATATTTTATAATTAAAAAAAAGGTTTGATGTAATCTCGTTCGAGCTCTGCACTGTATGCGATTGTATGGACTGGAAATGCTTTTATGAAGAGCGATTTTTTCATAAAAAATTATAAACATATTTTTAATTTGAAAAATATTAAAGTCAAAATGATATAGTGAGATTCCAAGTGTGCAGTGCAAATCTCGTACGATATCTTGCGCTATTATTAAGAGCAAAGAAATAAAAAAGGATGAATTTTTGCAACTATATACATTTTTACACAAAAACACTTGATACTTTAATCCTTATTAAGTGAATGGAAAAGGAAAGGAAAATTTTGAATGAAATGTTTGATAAACTAGGTGAGTAGTTGAAAAAAGTCCTAGAAACTTAAAATAAAAAATTATTGTGTATAATCAGCAAAATCGAGCTGAGGAGCTAAGTTTATGAATATTATTATTGAAATAATGAAAAAAGTTTTATCAATTAAGACTCGTTGTGCCAATAAAATACATTATACCGTCGTATAAGCCAGAATGATAAATGACTGCGAAATAGAAAAGAAATAAATAAATAAATAAATAAATAAATGAATAAATATATTATATATTAAAATAATTATATATTAAATAAAATGAATGAAATAAAAAATAATGTGCCAAAATCGTTGAGGGTGAACTTTGATAGTTGAGAGAAAAAAAATTATGCGCTCAAAAGGCACCGGTATATGATTTATATTAAGATTGTATTGTGCATAAAGTGATGAAAAAAGACATCATAAGTGTGTGTATGTAAATATCTGTGCAATTGTATAGAAAAGGGTAAAAACGATAAAATAATTATAATTATTACTACATTAAAAAAATAGAATTATTTGATTTTTTATGAATAAAAAAAAGAGGAGAAAATAATTCATCACTGTGCGAGTCGAGCGAACTTTTCGTTTTGTTTTTCCGGCGAGGATGTGTACATCAATTGTTAATACGCAGTATCTATTCATCAATTTGTAAATGGTAATATTATGTCATGTTATAAATATTTTGTAATAAATGAATATATACACAATTAAGATTTAAAATAAAATGTGTCAGTGAAAATAAAAATGAAACAGCTGTTTAGTCTCTTGTAACTCGTGTAGGAAAAAATTTTGAGAGCGTCTATAAAACGAGTGCATTCAAAACGATGACACCTTCCTCCTTCTTTGTAACATTTTTATTACGAGAAAATTCATTCATCTGTGATCGAAAACTACTGAATTTAACGACTGAACGATGAGGAAAAGAAAATGAGAGATCGCTCGATGTAGCCATAACCTGTCGAAAGGGTTTATATTATGAGGATTTTTCATTTTAGACAAAAACTACGAGAAAAGTAAAAAAATTGAACTATTAAAAGTTGTAAATAATACTGAATAAATAAAAAAGTATATTAAATAATACGCACATAAAAATACTACGTAAATGAAAAAGATTATCGAATCGTTAGGGTGGTAATGAGCCATAAAGAAAAGCGACGACGAAAATTAAGATTATTAGTTAGTCTGTTTTGTGGATGTTGTTTCATATTTATTGATTGATCCGGGGGAATAATTTTTTCCTACAAGTATCTGACGCGAATCACAATTATTATTATTATTATTATAAGAAAATAAACGATGCTAAGGTGCAAAAAAATAAAGATCAGTAGCAATAATTTGAAAATAAAAATTGACGAACTCTATTGATTAATTGATTTTGGCGAATTTTCCGTGCGACGTACTTATGCTTAAATTTTCATGTGACGAATGCTTCAGTTACAAGTGAGCATTGATATACTGGCCGTTCAAGATTAAAATTACTACAACAAAAAATATAAAAAAAACATGTGATGCAAGTACACACGGAGCTTTAATTTTTCAAACTTTTGTGAATTATTTATTCGAAAATACAAAATTGTGCGACGAAAAAAGAAGAAGAAACCGAAAACTTTCATTGCTATACGATAATTAAAGTAAAAAAAAAAAACACAATTGAGAGCTTAAAACGAAGAAGTACATAAAATTAATCGACTTGCGCGTATTTTGTCGTCGAAGAAACGAGCTCGACGAAAAATAAAAGAAAACAAAAGAAAACATAATCGACGTTTGCCTCTCTTTTAAAATTGATAAACAATGCGCATAAGTATAAGCAAAAAATAAGAGCTACGAGCGCCGCATCGGTTACTCTCCGGTGCAGTGCAGCATAGCTTACTTTACTCATAGAATTTTACGGAAAATCAGAAAAAACATAAAAAAAAAAAGAAAAGTACATAAATGGATCGATCGAAGTCATATGAATCTTCATTACACACGTACTCGAAAACTCACAAACACAAACTACACAGCCGTTACGTATAATTAATGTTTATTAAGAACTTACAGACGAAACAAACAAAAAAAAACACAAATTATATAGGCTCGCGTCTCGGAATTGAATCGATTTAGATAGATTATACATACTGACTAAAAAAAAAATGAGAAGAAGAATAAAATAAATAAATATAAATATACTACGTACGAACAATCGAATGATAAATATATATAAATAGTCTAAAACAAAAATGAGTAATGTAATGTGTATCCGATATATAAATACACGCATATAGATAAAAAAAAACAAATTATGATTGTTGTTTTCCATATATTATTACGAAGAAGCGAACAAAAAAAATCCGACGCAGATGTAGTAGACGCATATTGGAAAGGGAGAGAAAACGAGAGAGAGAGAGAGAGATACGAGAGATACGGTTCACTTTCGAGACGAGGAATTATTTACATAATATATTGTAATAATTGCGCGAAAGTGTGTTAGTGTAACTTTTAAGCTATGCAGAATGCGAGAGATAAACGCGAGAGAGAGAGAGATGCGTTGATGCACTCTCTTGGATAAATGGAAATAATTATTGAATTATTATTACCAAACCAATAAAAAGAAAGAAAAAAAAAAGTACAATCTGGTCTTGTTATTGTTGATGTTTTCCTCGATACAAAAGAAGAAACCGTGCATGTAAAAATGGAATCGATCCAATTATAAAATATCGCATATTAACCCATATATCGGGGACCGGCACGTGCGGCGTGCGTGGTGCGCGCGCGAAACTTTCGTGCGTTCTATTTTTAGCCTCCACTCCTCCCGTCCCTGCGCACGGATGTGTTATTACTCCATCAATGGCGCCCACTGCGGAGTTTATCTGTAGTATAGTATATATATAATGCACCAGTGGAATATTTCCCTCACGGAATATTTCGTCATATACCGTCGACGACACTAGAATCGTCAAGTCGAGCTTAACGCAATTTTCGAAGTGAAATTCCGACGTGAAAAAGTAAAAAAAAAAAAAAACAAATCCCCCAGTCCGCGACAACCTGGTACTTTTCCCGCGAGTACCCATATGGGCAGCATCGAGAGATCTTTACTGACGCCGCGCGCCGCATGTGTTGAGAAGAAACGCGAAAAATACGAGAATTGGGTGGTCACTATCGGTCGCCGCCACCTGTTTCCCTCCTCGATACAATCGAAAGACTGCTGCAGCTCATAATATTGACCGACACGCGCGCGAAATCTATTTCGAACGTGTGCAGTCGCTGGCCGGCCCCGAAGAAATGTGTACTCGTTTGAAACGAAAAGAAAAAACAACATCATGTTTGCAACGACGTTACACTCCAATATATATATACATATAGGCGCGCGTATGGGTAATCGTCTCGAGCTATCTCGAAAATTCGACGCGCAGAATCGCGTGCACGTGCCAGAAGGATCTCGCATGTTCTTTCGCTCTCTCTCTCTCTAGATGTGCAGTGCGCGAACGTTCGAGAAAGCGCCGCCGCCTGCGCGTGATTCGAGGCTGGAGTTGGACTGCAGCAGCAGCGGTACAACATGATTCGTCGCGGGTGACGTGCTCGCGCTTTAACGTCCCCGCGCGGATTGGCCGCAGAAACGAGCTCGACTGGATGTTTTGTGCTCCGTTTTCTTCGGCGAAAACGAGCGGGGCTGACTGCTGCTGGTACGTTCGCCTTTGTCGACGGTATCTTGACGCGTAACGTCGGCGATCTTCGCGAAATTTGAATTTCTGCATTCTTACTCTTCTTCGTGTTTTTTTTTTTTTTTTCGTCTAGACCGGAAAGATCGGTATCGGTAACGAATGACGAATCGTTGCGATCGGTTGCTTTATACTTGGAAGATATTTTCAAAGGATATAATTTTGACGTACAATTATTATTTTCGATACGAGGAAAAAAGTTGGTTGTTTCTTACCGATCATATTGGCACCGACTCGATCGCTCGATGAAAAAAACATAACCGATCTGCACCGGTGATATCGCGCAGCAGTTCCGCGTACAATCACACGTCATATGCGAATACTTATACAGCAGCGAGCGATATTATAAATTGAAATTTCGCCCAGGAGCTGCTTGGACTTGCAGATTTTTGACCGCACTCGACACACGGACGCAAATACAAAGCTGCGGACAGATTTGTATCTCTCGCCGTGTACAAAACGTTGTGCACTCGAAGTTACAAGTATCCCGAATTTTCCATTGGATTTTCTATGCGTCGTCGTCGTCGTTGCAGTGCAGAAAACACGCGTTTGCAATGATACGTCGACTTTGCGAATTTGCGGTGCGTCGCGCGCTCGGCGTCGAGCGAACGAACCACCCACCGCCGCATCGTAAGTGGAAAGAAAGCAGTATACTGTAACCAGCGCAGAAATGCGTGATGTATAGTGGCGCTATGTAGTCACGACCCAGCGAGGCCTCCAAAACAAACGCAGTATCTTTGTGACGGTCGAACAGTGAACAGTTCATTGTGAGCTACAAGTTACATAGCCTGACTGCAGGCATATATATACCTATATATATACACACACTTCTTTGTGCAGATAAGAGCAAATTGACGAGTGCCGATTTTTACAACAAGTGTTATAAACAAAAGTTCATCGTGCACGACAATCCGCTTTTACACGTTAAAACGGTGCGAAAGGAAAAAAGCAAGAAATTTCTAGACATGGCGCAGAAGCGTCCGCAATACGGCGAGTACGCCGACGAAAGTTTCTCCAGCGACGACGACTATTATCCGGACGACGCGATGGAGGAGCGGCAGCGTGGCAGCAGCACCAGCTCCTCGAGGCGCAGATCCACCTCGACGAGCAACAACAACAACAACAACAGACAGGCGACGTCGTCCGCGACGACGACCTCATCGTCGCACGGCGCTGCTGGTGGACAGGACGATCCACAGCAAATGGAACAGCAGCCACAGCAACAACAGCAGCAGGCACCTGGCACCGGTGCGCGCAGAAGAGGTCGGGGGCCGTCCAAGAGGCCGTGCCTGAACAAGAACGCCCTGATGGCCCGCGAGAATCGCCAGAGAAAGAAGGAGTACGTGGAGAAGATCGAGGCCGAGCTGGCCTCGCTGCAGAAGGAGAACCAGGAGCTGCAGAGCACGATCGAGAGCCAGAGCGGCGAGATCAAGAAGCTCAGCTGCGAGGTGAAGTACCTGAAGAACGTGCTGAGGAACGACACCCTGGTGACGACCCTCATGAAGGCCATGAACGACAGTCTGAAGAAGCTGCACGGCGGCAAGGGCCGGCCGCGGGACGCGGCCACGGACACCGTGATCGAGAGCAGCGGATCGACGACGCCGCGAGACGAGAGCGAGGGCCTGTCGAAACCCTGTCCGGAGCTGATGAATCACATATCCAAGTGAGCATTTACTTGTCAATTTTATATAAGTTTTGTAAATAATAATAACTCCAAGTGAGCATTTGCTTGTCAATTTTATATAAATTTTGTAAATAATAATAATTCCAGTATTCTAACACTAGTCCATGATATTTTTTATTTGTTTTCAAAATTTATATAATAATAATGCCAGTATTCTAACACTAGTCCATGATAGTTTTATTTGTTTTTAAAATTTTGTTGAGTAACCATTGAGTGAAAGTTGAGATTACATTATACGTATATACATAATTATAAATTCATGGAATAAACGCATTACTTGTATCTAACAAGTCAAACATGTTCGATGTACTGGCATTGATTGAGCATTGTTATTTGTCATTCTTGAACATATTGATAAGATATTCTTGCAATTATTTTATAATTATAATGCAGCTCTATAAAACTTACCAACTTTATGTATCGTTACGTTTGAAGTTAAAAGCATGTTTCTTTTTATACTTTTTTTTTAACATTGTAGATTTTGATTCAATTGTAGATTGCCCATTAAATGTCTTCAAAGTAAAATGACATGTATGAACAATAGAAAATATGTTTTCTTTTGCAGCGAACAAAATATTTCACCAAAATCTCCAAATAGGTCTGTGACTGTCTCAGGAACATCAGATGTTAATGACAAGCTAGCCTCTAGCAAAATTATTAACAAAGTTACATTTGGACAAAGTAATCAACCTACAGCAAAAATAGCCAGAAAAACAATGCCTTTGGTCACACTAAAAACAGAAAACCCTCCTAGCAATGCCAGTAGCATGGATGACTATGAGATGCATTATGCTATGAACTCTCCTCAATCCAGCATTTACTGTGAGTATAACACGGATGAAAGTCCAGCTGGTCTGAGTACTGGTCCAGTTGTGACACCATTGAGAAGCATGTCGCATTCGATGGACAATTTTGAAGGTAGCTTGTCAGATGGTTTCAGCCACCTCTCGTCACTTGATGTTGATATGCTAAATAGCTTAGAAAAAGATGGCAACATCGATAATCCCCTTTCATTGGATCAAGATGATTCAAATTTATTTACTGAAGATGCAATGTTTCACACATTTGATGAAATTTTGAAAAATATAAATGATGAAAGTAATATAGTTCTTGACTCTCAACAGGATCTCTGCCCTGCTAAAGACCCTGTAAAGGAATCCAATAATTTCTCTTTTTTTAATGCACCAGATAATCCAGGTGTTTGTCTTCATATAAATTCCAGTAGAGTTTCTTTGGAGTACTGTGTATACTGCCACAATAACAGCTTACAATCTCAGACAGTTATGTAAATTATTGCTGAATACAGGAGAAAAACTGAGAAATTGTGACGTTTTGCAAAGAAGCTATATTGAAAAATCAAAGCAAATAACCATGCTGATATGTTTATTCAATTACAATATATTTATATTATTATTAGTTGTATAATTATTGTCTGTATATCACAAACCATAGCTGTGAGTTCAGTTAAAAGATGTTATTTCAATTGCAGTTGTGTACTTTTGAATACAAATTTTCGTAAATGAAATCACAACAATCCTGACGTGTATTATTATATCGTATGAACGTGTGTGTCTTATTTAACGAAAATTTGTATGTACATATGAACTTAAAAAAAATTTTTATACTAAAGCCATTAATGATAACTTAACTTTATTTGTTTTAGGAGCATTTAAATGCACCTTAAACATTGTAAATATTGTATTGTCAAAATTTTTATTACTTATTTAATAGTTGAAGATTTTATGACATTTTAATTATTGTTGTTGCTTTTTACTAAGGTTTGTGCTATATAACAAATGTATTTTTAAAAATTCTATTTACTGTTCCTAAATGTACCATAATATTAATCATGTGAAACTCTTCTCAGCATGTAAAAATACACTTTTCGTTTTTGCAGGACACCAGCTTGGCATGGTACTAAATATGTGGCAGTTGGCTTCTTTTAATTAAAGAGGTGGGCATCAAAACTTGCTTAAGAGCATAGTATGATTTTTTTTTAATTTTCTTGCCTACTTGACATTTAACTCCCGTTGATTGTTGGTATTTCATTGAAAATTTTAAATATAAAATCCAAATAAATAAAAATGCCCACTTAGTACCGAATATTTTGCTTTGAAATTAAGCATGTAAAAATAAGCAGTTTTCAGTTTTCAGACTTCATCTCCTGCTTTTTGTATGTACTGCTTTTATGATTTGTTATAAAATTTTTTTTTAACATGCCAAGCTTTTTTTAACCATTTTTTATGAGAAACTTTATTAGAAAAATTGTATTAATTTTTTTACTTGAGTTTCAGCATTCTTGGAAAGACATACTGGTTTCACTTTGGAATGCTTGGAGCCAGATAGTTGTTCAATTCCTGCAAATGATTCCTTAAAACCAGAATTAAAATTTTAAACACATAAATTTTAATTCAAATATATGCACATTTTGCACGAAACTTTAAAGGTGAAATTTCAATTTAATTGATTTGAATTAAAAATTACAGTAAGTTATGAATAATGCTGGCACCCCTTTAATTATTTAACTTGTTAGCTAATGTAAGTTTATTATGATCTATTGGTCAATATGATATAATATTCTTTGGGATGTCCGTTTTTGAAATTCAAAAACATTTCTGGTATTAAGGTATTTTTCAGCTTCTTAACTTGTCTGTTTTAGTATTTTTACAGGTCTCGGAAGAGTTACTGATAGCGTTGTGATTGTAACAGCATTACGTTTTGTACATGAAGATCATTTCAATATATGTGTACGAGTGTAAATAGGTTGTATAGAAACAGTTAAATAATAGTTATGATTAAAATGCATTTTTTGATAGATTACTTCAAAGGATGTGTAATTAAATTTATCAGATATTAACGAAGGAGAATTATTTGATTCCATAGATAATCTGTTTTGATAGTAAGAAGACTGTATTACATAACGGACTGTTGGAGTCAAACAAATTTTATAAAATACAAACTTACAAAATTAAAAGAATAGTATATAAAAAAACAATAAGTGTTTTATTTTTTTCATTTTTCGTTTATTTTACTCAAATGTATACATAATTTCTGTACATTATATTAATTTTACTGGTTTTGAATTATTTTTCATTGCAATTTTATAATTTATTGTACATCATATCATAATTATATTTTAACATAATTTTTAAACTGAATTCGAACTAATATATATTCTTTTGAGGACATGATTAGTAACTCTACTAATGTATTACTTTGGATTGAAATTGATTTTTTTTTGCACACGATAAATAGACTTAATGCAAGCTTTCAAATGATGTCGAACAAAATTACTTTCTTTATAAAAATAAATATGTCAAGATTTCATACACTTCAATGAAATTAATTAGATTTTTTAAAGAAGTTATACTTTTTGATAATTAATTTTAAATACTTATAACTAGCGTGAGTTCAAGATTATACACAATTTTTTCTATGTTACTATAACGTGAATACAATGAAAGATATGAAAATCTTTTTACAAAAAAAAAACAGAAAAGCAGGATGTGATCAATGCGCTATTTTCTAATCATATATTCTTAAAACTCAAGATATGTACAACTCTAAGACACAGGTTTTACCCAGATGCTTTTTGAAATTATCCTAATCTACTAAAAACACCTTGTTTTTTAAACTGTTTAACTTCAGTTCCTTGATTCCTGAAGTGATTAACTGTAGCCATTTTCTTGAAAGTCACTTGTTTATTTAAACCAAGGCGGGATTTTGCGGATATTTCTTGTCTTTCTGATGCTGAAATTAAAAATAATAAATTTAATTTCACAGAAGTTTGAATAAAGTCGATTTTATAGTAACGAGTAAATACTTTGATTAAAATTAGCAAAATTTAAAATGAAATATTTACCCAATTTTCCAGGAACCTTTGTTGCTCGTTGAAGAAAATTGTTTTTTTTTCCTGGAACGCGTTTAAAAGATGCAGCAGTTATAACTGGTTGTGGTTTTTGATTTAAAATCAATTTTTTGGTGAGGACTTCTTGATCAGCTCTCATTGTACCGACAGGTACTTTTGAAATGGCTGCTTTTGTAGTCAATACTTTGGTTCCTTTCATTGGAACTCGAGTTTTTAAAATACTAGTGGTAGATCTGATTACTCCGTTCCTAAAATTAATAATCATTTAATCAGAAACTTTATACAGGTGAATTTTACAATTACAATGTTTTTTATCGTGGATAAGTAATTTTAACTTACGATGGAGAAGTTTGATCTTTATTTCCAAGGCGATTGAAAACACTGTCAGAGGATCGTTTCTGACTTTCTTTTCCAACACCAGTAACAGTGAATGAAGGAGTAAAACTAGAATTCAGCGAATCTACATTTGTAGTACTAGAAACCATACTATCTCCTAATCGATGAAAAACTGTTTTTTTTGGCTGTACAGGTTTCTTGACAATTTGCTGACTTCTCATGGGAGGTACCTTAGGTCCATACTCCATATTATTTTCCATCATTTCAGGATTTTTAGGTCGTTTTCTAGATTGGTGCACACTTTCTAGGAGCAGAGTCAAGTCTTCATCGTCTGATGACTCACTTTCAAATTTCCTTTTCATTGGAGCCACTTTCAATTTTGGTGCCTCTTCAATGAGATCTGAGTACAATTTTGATGCCACTGCGCTGGATGCAACTTTTTTTTTGATTGTCATTTTATTAGCTGCAGCCGGAATAATTTTTGCTTTCATGGCTAGATTATTGCCATTAGATTTCATCACTTTTGAGGGATCAGCCTTAACTTTGTTCACGGCAGTTGTTGTTTTAGCTGTTACATTTGCTTTCTTAATTGTCGATTTAGGGGCAGCCTTAACTGGACGCGCAGGAGGAGAGTCATTTGCATTCAAAAGATTTTGACACTTGGTTTCGTCCACTACGTTCTTGGCGTACCTCAAAATAGCTATCAGATCACCCATCAGAGTAATGCCCATTTCTCTGAGACTGGGCTTATCCAAATCTGGTAACATATCAGGTTTGATGCGATTGTTGGAGAATATTACAGCGTACCTGGTAGCAACATCTTTTGGAAATCCAGCATTTTTGAAAAAGTTTACCCAGTAGGCTATAAAAAAAACCACACAAAAAGTAATTATTAATGAGTTTAAATTCTACACTTGATTTGTGTCAATCGAGCGGGGTTAGTTTTTGAAATTTTCTTTTGAAAAGCCTAATAATTAGGTTACAAAGCACACAGTCATGTGGTAATATCTAACACTTTTCCTTTAAAAAAAATTGCACCCCAAAATAGATGCATTAATTTAGAAATTCGATTTTAGATTTAGATATGCTCCTTCACTTTTCCGACTAATAAAACATAACAGAAAGCAGGCTAAAAATAGTAACTTCCCAACAAATCTAAAAGAGCAAAGAAAATTCACGTGTACTTACATGATAATGGGGCCTCCATATTTTCTACCTCTTTGATTTTTTCAATATCTTGGTAATTCTCAAATGAATCTGCGTCCAAGCGAAATCGCTATAGACAGCTCAATAACGTAAGATAATAATAAACTCCAAGAGACTCGCGAGAGTCCACACAGCAATAGGTATATGTAAGAAAACCGATAGGTTGTTTATGTACACAGTACACACTACACACGAAGCCTGAGAGACGATATATACTGGCTACTACACCTCTGCGTCTGCACCGATGTCTCCACTCTCCGGTGCTGTTGCCTTTTCGGCTTTGGAAATTGCTGTACGCGCACGCGCGATATATAATGCACACTCACAATGATGCGGTGCGCGATGCATTTATGCGTCGCTACTGAATGATGCGCATCGAAAAGTCAGAATCACTATTTTGATGATCACTAAGTTTCATTATTGTTTTTATCTTTAAAGATTAAGATTATGATTCATGCTTAAAGTTGTTCAAACATTAATTATTATTATTTTATATTAGAAAGAATGGAACATTTTTTTAAATATAATTACAAGCACATCTTGGCAGAATCTAGGCATTTGTCACAACTGGTCGTATACAAATCAATTAACAACAAAATTTTTAATAAAAAAGCATAATTTTATTTTTCTATACTATGATAATTAAATATGTACACTGATCAATACATAATTTTACAAACTAGTTGATATATTATTTATTTACTAATAAAATGCTGTTGGATTAATTATAAAATGGATTGAAAGTCACCCAGTGAGCTCTCGTTTGCTCTTTCTCAGATTTATGAGTAGTAAAAAGACTTTTCACTACTTCCGATACATTAGGATCTTGAGCAACGCTGTAATCTCCGCTCATTTTATGCATTTTGGGGTCTTTTGGTACCTTAGCCTGTGATCGAGCAGGCATAACTTTCTTTGAATCGCTTGATGTTGCTTTATCTTTTTTATCTTTCTTTTTCTGGCTAGGTTCTCCAGTTTCTTCTTTTACTTCACTTTTTTCTTCTTTTATGTTCTTACGCTTCTTAGACTTTGATTTCCTTCTGGATTCCAGGTTTTCCATCATTTTTGGGAGATCTTCATCATCTGGGTTCAAAACCACTATATCATCATCCACAAATGTTGCAGAACATTTATGACAGTTCTGAAAGTAAAAGCATTATAAGTTAGCTATCAATTTTAGAAATAAAATTATAATCAAAAATCTTTAAAACAGCTTATGTACTTACGTTGCCCTTTATTTCTTTCAATGCACGTTCGCTCATGACACATCCACATTGCCAAAGGAAACAAAATTTATGTTTTCCATTCATTTCCAATCCAGTGACTGGGCAAATGAATTGACTCGAGCCATTATCCTTGTTTCCTCCTTTGATTAAATCTTCACCTTTATAGGCTGGATTCTCAGTCAATTCTAGGGCCTTGATGTCCTTTAAATTTTTAATGTGGGTAGCTGATTCTGGAAGCATGGAACGATCCAACAGTCCTTCAATGACAGCTTCTTTGCTGTAAAGCCTTCCTAGGCCACAAGCAACAATAGGTTTCTGGAGTGGTAATTGCTTGATGGAACAATTTTTCCATCTGTAGTGTAGTTCAGCATCTTTATCTTTCTATTTATTGGTTAAAAAAGGTTAAAATTAGTTGTGAATTCTAGAAAACTTTCTCAACCTTGCTTATTCATCAGAAAATAAACAATACAAAACTGAACAACAACATTTGATGAAGTAATAAAGCAAAACTTACCTGCTCGGGTTTTTTCTTGATTCTGACCAACTCATCTCGTCGCGGAATGGTACCTCCATCGCAACCCATGTTTTATTCGTTGTTTTTGTTTTGATGTATAGCACAAACGAGATCAAAAAGATGCAGTAGAACCTATATTATAGGCAGCACAAGGATTCACTGACCTTACTGCGTGGCTGTCAGAGCAGTAGAGCTTTGATTTTGACAAATCTATATATTGTAATGTAACTGTAATTATTATACTGCGTCGTCACTGTGGTAGTATTAGTAAGGCAGCTAAAGCGACGCTACAATGACTAACGGTGAGTGTCGGTACTAAGGCGCTCGACCCGTACATAATCCAAACACGGCTGCTCGCCAGTTGTTGTCGACCATTTTTTTCTTTGGTTAGTTGGTTTGTCAAATTCTTTATTTTGAATAGAAAAAGATGGGTGGTTCATCTGGTAAAAAACATAAGTCCGATAGGGAGAGAAGCAGTCGGGATTCCAGAAAGAGACGCCGTCGAAGTCGCTCCAGGTCCAAGTCCAGGTCCAGGTCGAGGTCTTACTCACCGGCGTACGACGAGAGGGACAGATACAGGAGCAGCAGCAGACACCACAAGAAGCACAAGAAACGCGAGCGCAGGGATCATGACAGCGATGGTAAGTTCGAGGATCAGTATTTTTTTTTGTATTTATTGATTGATTACATAGAACTTTATCGATTAATGCTTGGCAGTTTTTTAAAGACGAATTTTATCTTCTGCAGTGGAATTCATCGATGAGACTCCGGCACCAGTCAAGACTGTTCAGCCAACTGCTCCTTCTCCACCCAAAATATCGGTAAAATTTCTTTATTTACAAACGTTTACATTGTTTCTTGTTATTTTCTAAAATTATTAAGGCAATTTACTTTCCAACAGGGCAAGGAGTATGATGAGCGGAAGCATACTCACTCGTCGCGCAAGGATGAAAAATCTAGTAAACGTAAGAGGAGTCCGACTCCACCGTCTAGTAGTAAATCCAAGGAATCATTGTCCATCGAAGAAACAAATAAAATTCGAGCCAAGCTTGGGTTGAAACCATTGGAAGTAGACAGTGGACCGAAACCAGGAACTGATGTGTTTAAAGATGATTTGGGTGAATTTCACCATAAACCAGCAGTCAACAATGCAGAGAAAGCAAAAACTGAAAAAATTAGAGAAAAGCTTGCTACGATTAAGCAAAAAAGACAAATTGACTCTGTTTTATCTTCTGTTAAAACATTGGGATCTGATTCAGAAGATGATGATGCTGCAGCATGGGTTGAAAAAAACAGAAGAATTGAAGAAGAAAAGAGAAAAGCTGCGGAAAGAGTAAGTTTTTTATATTTAAAATTTTTTTTCATATTGCAAGGTATTTTTGCCTTTAGAGAGGCACTAAACATGATGGCATGTTTATTGTAAAAAAAGTTATTTACAATGTTCATGTAAACTATCATCATTTTAATACATAAGATTTGGTTGTCTATTTGGTAGTTTTGATGGTATTTAATTCAAGTATTGAGAAACAATTTCTGATTCTCACGACAAAAGAGAAGATTTTTATCTATTAGGCTACCTTCAGACCCTTTATGTATTTTATTTTGCTGACTTAGTAATTAAAATATTTATTTTTTAGGCAAAACTTTTGGATCAAATGGATGAAGAATTTGGTATTGGTCAAATTGCAAAAGAAGAGCTGGCGTATGATAGAGCAAAGGCATATTCAGATAAAGATTTAAAAGGCTTACGTGTAGAACATGATTTGGTAAGTTACTTTAATTTACATAATTTAAATTATAGTTTTGACATCAATATAGAGATTTTAAATTTTAAAAAAATTTTTTTTTAGAATACTTTTAAAGAAGATACTAATGTCATTTTGACACTGAAAGATAAAGATGTGCTGGCTGAGGATGATGACGTTTTAGTAAATGTAAATATGGTTGATGATGAACGTTACAAAAAGAACGTTACAATTAAACAAAAGAAACCAGGATATGATGCTTTTGATGAAAGTCAATATGATGAGTATGGCATGTCAAAGGGTCATATTTTAGAAAAATATGATGAAGAAATCGGTGGAGAAAAACGAGATAGCTTTACTATTGGTATGGTGGATGCAAAGGCCATGATGAGGCAGCAAGCTGAAAGAGAAAAAGAAAAATTAGCTAATAAAAGGTTGGAAACTTTGAATTTCATTGAACCAAAAATAGCTAGTGACTATTATAATGAAGAAGAAATGGAAAAGTTTAAAAAACCTAAGAGAAAGGTTAAAAAAATAAGAAAGAATAAAATGCTCAAAGCTGATGATCTTCTACCGACGAATGAAGATTACATGGGACCTCCAGATGATAAAAGCTTGTTAAAATTAGAAGATGATTTTGAAAAGCCAGTGAAAAAGATAAGGAGTAAAAGCTTGATGCTTAAACCTGAAGACCTTCTCACACCCAAAACTGAGCCCAATGGTCATATCTATGAAGAGGACATGTCAAATAACATTGTGCTAAATGCTACAGCTGAATTTTGTAGGTCTCTTGGTGAAATTCCTACCTATGGTCAAGCTGGTAATCGACGGGATAAACCAGAATTTATGGTACATATCTTCAACTATTATTACTACTACTACTCATTTTCTCAATAATTATTTATTTTATTAACTGTTACATTAGGAATTCGAACTAGAAGCACCCAAACAAGAACCAATGGAGGAAGAAATGGATGACGATCGGGGTACATGGAATCAAGTCGATACAACGAGTAAGAACAATTTTGATGGTTTAAAAAATTATTATGGACAGATACTCAGTTCTTTGCTTTCAGATGCTGTACCCGTAGTTGCCCCAGTTCAAATAGAAGCAATTTTGGACGAGCCAACGCTTGACCAAGGCATCGGCAGCGCTTTGAAATTTGCCATGAGCAAAGGTTATCTCGAGAAGGAAGAAAATAACAGAGCCACTGCATCGAGATTCGCTCATCTCCAGGCTCAAAAATATTCCATCGAGGACAAGGCACACGGCGAGGATGACAAATTCAACAGGAGGGACAGATTCAGTGGGCCAACTATGGATTTCAAAGAGAAAGATGGCTTCAAACCCAACGTCAAATTGGAGTACATCGATGACAACGGTCATCTGCTGAACGCCAAAGAGGCGTTCAGGTATTTATCCCACAAATTCCACGGCAAAGGACCCGGTAAAAATAAGGTGGAAAAACGCATGAAGAAGAACGAACAAGAGAGCCTGTTGAAGAGGATGTCTTCGACCGATACCCCCTTGGGTACTCTCAATCTTCTGCAAGCCAAGCAGAAAGAAACGCAATTGCCGTTCATTGTGCTCAGCGGAAGTAAGCAAGTGCAAACGTGAGTTATCATCATAAACTATCGATTTTAATTAAAAACATTAGACTTGAAAGCAGTTTTAATCTTTTATTTCTTTTTTCTTTTTCAGCCCTACCATTTCAAAATCCAAGATGTGAGATCGCTGTAAATATTTGCCGAAACAATTTATGTACATATATTTATTATATTATTAACGAACCAATCGATTTACTCTTGAAAACACGCAGTCTGTGTTAACTCTGTACCGTGCATGGATATAATCTACGAATAATTTAGAAGCACTATGAAAAAATGTATTTTTTTTTAATACAAAAATATAAGCTCCAAAAAACAAACAAACAAACAAGTTATTATCTCTTGATTTTTGGACCTTTTTTTCAACTTGAAACCAACGCACACCTGTTGCGCTCGGTACCATATAAAATGCACACACATGCTTGTACGCAGCGAAAAGATATATATACTCGCTGTGTCGTCATCATGCGGGTAGTTTAAGATTGAAAATGTATTTATTTATCATCTGCGATATCTATATAGGTACGTGCGGTTGCACAAGAGAATGACTTATTAACCACATTTTCACTCGATTTTTAATTAAATCGTCGTTACACCTCCTCGAATGCGTTCACAATTAACCCTTTGAGTAACGCGTAATTAATCGGTCTCTGAATTACAGCCGGCGAGGGACAAAGAGAGAACGAGAAAACAAAAAAAAAATCGCGTATTTATCTCAATCTCGAGCGATATATCACTCACGAATTATTTTTTGTACCTTTTTTCGTACAATTGTGCACGCGCGCGAAGCGGCGAAACATTAAAAAAAAATTGGATCGCTATATTATACATTAACGCACACTCACACGCGCGCGCGAGACGGTCTTATAATAACAAAAATCGCGATTTACGCGCACACAGGCTCGAAGTATAAGAAGAAGAGGCAGTAAAAATAAAAAATAAAAAGAAGGAATACATCCATCAACGTCTCATTATCAAGGGCGATCATCTCCTCTCTCTGTCTGTCTCTCACACACTGCATCGGTGGCGCGGCGCCCCCAAGAGTAAAAAAAAAAAAAGGCGGATAGGAGCGCATATACACAAACACGAGCTACGTCGTGCGTTGTGTACATACAGGTACATACGCGCGCGTATGCTAATCTCGCGATTCTCGCGCGTTGTACATCACGGTGCAGCGTATAATGCACATATAGACGCACTTTAAAGAGGAAGACCTCCTACTTTTCACGCCCTTACTTCTCACGTTTTATGTATACGGCTTATATATATAAAGAAACGCCGACGCCGTCGCGCGCATCGTCTAGAGAGAGAGAGATAATTTCGCGATTGTAGATACGAAATTTCGTAACGTAATGAATCCGAATTACTTTTGATTTTTCACGCTTACGCTGTAATGAGACGTTGTGAATGTAATTACGCGTCGATGCTTGCAAATAATTGCAAATGATTCGATCGTCTCTCGCGTGCAATCCTCTTAAATTGACATTGTCCATTATAGAAGATTATTGAAAAATCAATGCGTGATGAATCGATCACCAATGCGGCGTCACGCCATAAGGTCTGGAGTGGCAAATTTTGGTATGGATAATAGAAACCTTTTATTACATAAACGTTTACAACGGATTTATTTACTCGATGAACTCCTTTTTGGAAGCCATAAATTCGTCGACAAGTTAGACTTTTAAATCGTTTACACTCTTCTAAGAACAATGTATAAACAAATAAATCGATACCTTAATTATCAACAATATGATCATTAACGATTTTGATACAATCCTTGGAATACTGATCGTGTTTACAGCAAAAACAAATTAGTTTGAACTTTGTCTTTCCGGATTAAATAAGCCATTATAATAGAGATAAACTTTACTTATTCAATTTACGTGGAACAAATCGAATGATCCATCTTTTATTGTATAGGCTCCAAAATGGATAAGAGTAAGAAGAAATTTGAAGAAGTTGTTGTTTCAGGCGAAAAAAAATACGTTTGTGATATTTGCCAGGAGGCATTTACACTGGAATCAGCCATGGTAGAACACCGAATCACAATTCACAATGACCGAAAAAACTACTCGTGCGACAAGTGCAAAGAAAAATTTGATTTTCGAAGTCATTTGAGTAGACACCAATTATCAGTTCACAAAGTTTGCAAAAATGTCGCGTGTGACAGGTGCGAGAGAAAATTTGAAAATAAATCATCTTTACTTAAGCACAAAAAAATATTTCACGAAGTTTTCAAAGATTATTTATGTGAAAAGTGTGCCAAGAGATTTGCAAATAAAAACAGTTTGGTCATTCATATAAAGACAGTCCATGATGGTCGGAAAGGTCACAAAGATTTTGCATGTGATAAGTGTGAAAAGAAATTTGGACTCAAATGGATTTTGCTTTTACACCAAAGGACAGTTCACGAAGGTCGCAAAGATTTCTCATGTGACAAGTGCGAAAATAAATTCGGTGAACGAGGCACTTTGATCAAACATCAAAAGACAGTCCACGAAAGTCGAAAAGATTACCGATGTGACAAGTGCGATATGAAATTCGGACTTAAATGGACTATGATTCAGCACCAAAAGATGGTACACGAAGGTCGCAAAGATTACTCGTGCGACAATTGCGAGAAGGTATTTGGAATAAAATCGAATTTATTCAAGCATCAAAGGACAGTTCACGAGGGTCGGAAAGATTACGCATGTGACAAATGCGACAAGAAATTTGGACGAAAATCGAGTTTGCTCTACCACCAAAAGGCAGTACACGATGGTCGCAAAGATTACGCGTGTAACGAGTGCGAGAAAAAATTCGGACATAAACAACATTTGCTCCGCCATCGAAAAATAGTACACGGAGGTCGCAAAGATTACGCATGCGACAAGTGCGAGAAAAAATTTATCGAAAAAAGGTGTTTGTTCGTGCACGTAAAGACGGTACACGAGCGCCGCAGGGATTTCACTTGCGATAAATGTGAGAAGAAATTTGGACTCAAATCGAATTTGCTGAAGCACCAAAAGACAGTACACGAAGGTCGGAAAGATTACGCATGTAACAATTGTGGGAAGGTATTTGGACTAAAATCGAATTTGCTCGTTCACCAAATGATAGTTCATGAAGGTCGCAAAGATTTTGCATGTGATAAGTGCGAAAAGAAATTTGGAGGTCGAAGCAATTTGATAAAACACCAAAAAATAGTCCACGAAGGTCGGAAAGATTACTTATGCGACAATTGCGGGAAGGCATTTGGACTAAAATCCAATTTGCTCTCGCACCAAAAACTAGTCCACGAGAATCAAAAAGATTTCGCGTGCAACAAGTGCGAGAGGAAATTTGGACTAAAATCCGATTTGATCAGACACGAAAAGTCAATTCACGAAGATCGCAGAGATTATGCTTGTGACAAGTGCGAGAAAAAATTTGGACGTAAACATCATTTGGTCGCTCACCAAGGGAAAGCACACGAAGGTCGTTAAAAGTGTACATACGAACAAGTGCGAGAAAAAATTTGGACGAAAAGTGTAATTTCTCAGACATAATTCGATTTTTCATCAAATAGCCGTACACGAAGGTTGCAAAGATTAAACATGCTACTATGGCGAGAAAAAATGATGATTGACAATTATAAATATGTTTGGATATATAAACTTATATAAATTTTAATAAAACTGATGCCGAAATGATTGAGTCTTACCTGATGTAAAATATCCATTACACCTTTGTTCACTGTTGTTGTGTGGTGTATTATTTGTCAACAAAATTGCGCGTACTACTAATTATTATTCTCTGTTAATTTTTTGGCTGTTTAATTCTTAGTTTCTCGTTCAACAATTCCAGATTTTTTTTCGCGTATTGTTTGTAGCTGTGAGTGGGGCTAGCATTAATTAAATCGATAGTTGATTTTCGATAAAACTCACCTGGTGTTATGCTGAATACTACTTACAAATTTTGATGAACTTGAAAAAATCTAAAGTAGGACGCGATCAATAATAACAATAAGTTTTACCAAAACAACTAGAGTAGAAAATATTCAATAATTTAATTGCTACCAAAAAATGTTTTCCACATTTCTTCAAAAGTAGTGACACACGTGAGTCGATGAATTTTTGGCTATTTTTTCAATAATAATCTTAGTTTTCCCGATAAACTCTAGTTTCGTGTTAAAAAAACGTCTTTAATCCCGAAATATTTTCGGTATATATTTATGTCTATCGGAAAAATATCTATTCAAGATTGTTGCCTTCAACTTTCAAGATGAAGAATCGATCGAGTCAAAAATTGATAATCAATTACCAAAACTCAAAAGAAGATACTCGACTGAATATCCGTGTAAGACACGCGGTCATAAGATTGCGGTCGTAAAACCTATCTATTCGGTCAACGCGACGTTCCAAAAAGTCACATTTTGTATTTTTACCGACTTTCTGGCTTTTGCGACTTGCGAGGGCCGTGCGAATCAAGTCTCAACTCGTCTTGAGAAAAAAAAAGGCGCGCAGAGTCGTAAACGGTCGGCAGTTAGCACTCAGCTCAGCAGTCGGCTGCGGCTCGGCACAGTTCAGTACGAGTTACGACGCCGCACAGTTAACAAAGAAAGGTCAACGAGAACAGAAAGTGATTCTTGTGAAGTGTATATCATCTTTATAAATTATAAACAATAAACGATTGAAAAGTGATCAAGTTTGTAAAAGTGTGTGTAGAACAATGGCCGAAGACGATCAAAACTGCATCAAAAAATTGAAAATTATGCGAGGAGAGGTTAATTGGGAGATAAATAATGAACGACGAAAATTTCTCAATCAATTCTATACTTTGATCGAAAATTGGGAGGGTCAATTGCCAAATCTTCCAGACATTTTTCAAAGCGAAGAAATTGATTGGCTCCTCAAGCAGCATGTCAAAATCATGTGCAAAAGCAAAGTTATACTCAAAAAATCTCTACTACTCGATTTCGTAATCCGGTGCGGCTACAAAGACCAGCCCAAAGTCAATGAAGACGGCAGGCCATTGTTGCGTCGCACCACACCAATACACATGGTGGCTAGACACGAATATAGCCTTTCTTTGCACTACATTACTCGGGATCTCTTCAAAATATACGACAGATTCGATGTGAATTATAACGACGAAAAGTCATGCTACACACATTTCCATGTAGCTTGCCGGTATGGCTGTGACGAGGTCGTTGAGAAATTTCTCGAGTTCGGCCAGGATCCCAATTGCTTTCCTGATCAAGAAACTAATGCGAGCTCTGTCGATCCGCCGCTACGCTTGGCTCTTGTTAACAGTCACAAGCAAGTTGTGAGATTGTTGCTGAGATTTGGGGCGGATCCAAACTTGACCGACGCAGAGGGGTCGACACCTCTGCATCTTATTTGCGATCACTGCGACGATGACTTCATGGAGATGTTTTTCAAGATCAACGAAGACATGCATCGGACTCTGCAAGTCGACGCCCTCGACAACCATGGATGGGCCCCGCTGCACTTGGTTCTGGATCGTCGCCTGAAGAAAAAAACCGAATTGTTACTGTCGAGAGGCGCAAATCCGAATTTGGTTAACGCGGATGGAAAGTCACCGTTACACATGATATGCACGAGAGACCAGGAATTCGATAATTATGATAGTGATGGTAGTGATGATAGTAAGGATAGTAAGGATAGTGATGATAGTAAAGATAGTAACGACGAAAGTGAAAGTCATGATGTTGAAGATTATAAGTTGATGGAGATATTTTTCAAGACCTGCGACGAAAAACATCAAACGGTGGATGTCGACGCTCGAGACGATTTCGGACGGACACCACTGCACTTGGTTGTTCGTGACAAAACCGAGAAACTAGCGGAACTACTTTTGAGAAGGGGTGCCAATCCGAATCGAACCAACTCGGGTGGATTAACTGCTCTGCACATCATGTGCAAAGAAGGTCAAGGCGATGATGATATTGATAATGATTACGTTGATGAAGAATTTGTTGAGCTATTTTTCAAGATCACGGACGAGATGCAGCAGTCGGTCAAGGTCGACGCCGTGGATGAGAAGGGCAACACACCGCTGTACTATGCTTTACATAGTGGCGCCGGAAAAGTAGTCGAACTACTGTTGAGAAACGGCGCGGATCCGAACTTAGCCGACGCAGAAGGATTGACTCCTCTGCACATTCTTTGCCAGCCAGACTTTAATCTTTATTACAACGATCAAAATTTGTTAGAAATTTTCTTCGAGGTTAATAAGGACAAACATAAGAAATTACAGGTCGATGCCATGGACAAGAAGGGCAACGCACCGTTGCATTTAGCTCTGCAGAAAAGTAACAAGAAGGTGATTGAATTGTTGCTGATGAACGGCGCCAACCTAAATTTGCCCGATGCGGAGGGATCGACTCCTCTGCACATCATTTGCAAGAAAACAGTTCGTCGTAGCGACGTAGATAATCATCGTGATCTGTTAAAGATGTTCTTCGAGGTGAGTAACGTGAAAAATCAGCCGATGCAAGTCGACGCCTTCGACAAGGAGGGCAACGCACCGTTGCACTTGGCTCTGAATCGCAATAACGCCGACAGGATAATAGTCGCGTTACTACTGAGCAACGGCGCCAACCCGAATCTGGCCGATGCGAACGGATCGACTCCTCTGCATATGATGTGGAAACATTATTACAATGGCTATAAACTTGCGAAGATATTTTTCGATATCAGCGATGAAAATGACCAAACGCTGCAGGTCGACGCTCGGGACAAGTTGGGCCGGACACCGCTGCACGTGGCTTTGGAATACGGTGACAGAGTCTCGACCGAATTGCTGCTTAGAAGAGGTGCCAACCCGAACTTGGCCGATGCAGAGGGATTGACTCCTTTGCACGTAATTTGCAAAGAATACGACGAAGATGAATATTCTGACGATGACAGCGACGATGATGGTGGTAACAAAGGCCTGGCAAAGTTATTTTTACAGATCAACGACGAAATTCAGCAGACTGTGCAAATCGATGCCATAGACAGGATGGGTCGGACACCGCTGCACTATGCTCTAAGTGTTGGTGCCAGAAGCATAGTCAAATTGCTGTTAAGAAGAAGAGCCGACCCGAACTTGGCCGATGCAGAGGGATTGACTCCTTTGCACGTAATTTGCAAAGAATACGACGAAGATGAATATTCTGACGGTGACAGCGACGATGATGATAATAACCTGGCAAAGCTGTTTTTCCAGATCAACGACGAAATTCAGCAGACTGTGCAAATCGATGCCATAGACAGGATGGGTCGGACACCGCTGCACTTGGCATTGGAATACGGTGACAGAGTCTCGACCGAATTGCTGCTTAGAAGAGGCGCTAACCCGAATTTTGCTGACTCAGAAGGATTGACTCCTCTGCATGTAATTTGCAAAAGAAACGAAGACGACGACGAGGACGATGACGATGATGACTACGATGACGAGGACGATGACGATGATGACGACGATGATGACGACGATGATGTTGATGACCTGGCAAAGCTGTTTTTCCAGATCAACGAGGAAATTCAGCAAACAGTGCAGGTCAATGCCAGGGATATGTTAGGCAAAGCACCGCTGCACTATGCTCTAGGCGTTGGCGCCAGAAGCGTAGTCAAATTGCTGTTAAGAAGAAGAGCCGACCCGAACTTGGCCGATGCAGAGGGATTGACTCCTCTGCATGTCATTTGCAAAACATACAACGACGACGATGACGACGATGATGATGACGACGATGACGATGACGAGGACGATGATGGCGATGATGACGATGATGATGATGATGATAATAACCTGGTAAAGCTGTTTTTCCAGATCAACGACGAAATTCAGCAAACAGTGCAGGTCAATGCCAGGGATATGTTGGGCAACGCACCGCTGCACTATGCTCTAGGCGTTGGCGACAGAAGCGTAGTCAAATTGCTGTTAAGACGAGGTGCCGACCAGAATTTGGCCAACGAGGCTGGAGCAACACCTCTGCATATCATTTGCCAGACTAAAAACGCCAATAGATTGACAAAGATATTTTTCAAGATCAACGACGACATCCAGGAGACCGTACAGGTCGACGTTCGAGACAAATTTGGTCGGACACCACTGCAGTGGGCCGTGGCTAAGCTCAAGACGCATTGCTTCAAAAGTCTGCTGGATCGTGGTGCCGATGTATCCAGCTTCGATTTTCCCACCGAGAATTACTTTGCCGAAAATTACAGACCACCTCGTGGAGTCGGGAGTGCTGTGTACAACACTATGTTCATCCTGAAGTCCCTGGAAGAAAGAGGATTTAACTTGGACCAAAACATCGCCTTGATGATCATGAAATTTTTCGCCAAACACGGATTGATCACTGATGAGTCTGTAGATATGGACGAATGTTTGCGTAGCGATGAATACTTCGCGAGAGAGGCCAAAGAACACATGATGACGCCGATCCTGTCATTCTACGATTTTCTTCGTCTGCCATATGAAGAGGCAGAGAAAATATTCACACTTAAAAATTACGAGGAGTTAACATCTGAAATTTTGGATCATTATGATAAATCTCACACAAAGTTTATTTTGTTCCTGTGCGAGATATTAACTACAAGATTTTTCCAGAGATGGACCCTGGAATTTTTTATGACACTAACGCAATACCAGCTGCCGATTCTCTGCTGTGATATAATCATCCAGCAATTGCGATTAAAAGATTTGTGGTGCATTTGCCTGGCAGCCGCTGATCAAAATCTGGAATAAGTCAAGCGATTTCGAAACCTTTATGCATCAGTAAATGATAGAAGACAATAAAGATAGAGACTCAGAAGAGCTGTTCAATCGACACTCGCTACAGCTTTTACGTCTATTTTGAGTCTCTATCTTTAAAAGTGAATATTGAGATTAAAATAAATGCAAAAAAGAGCCAATGATATTATAGTTAAATTTATACACTTCTGTAAAGATTAAATTTGAAATTATGTTTAAAAATTACAATTAATTCATTGCAAATAGTTAGCAATATAAAATCATATTAAAAACAAAACTTTCTTTGTAGAAGAAAAAATAAAGATATCTTCATGAATAAGTCTTGATGTATGTAACAACTTATTTACCCCAAAAAATCCATTTTAAAATTAATTAATTGAAAATGTAGGTTATCATTCAATAATAAACCATACTGAAAAAAAGTTATTCGAGAGATTGAATGGAGCATTGAAATAAAATTAATAACAATTTCTAATACTTCCACGTTCGTCACAAAATTGAAGGATATTCACGTGAAAGTGTAAAATTATATGTGAGTGTAAATGTCTTCATTGTGTCTAAATGTCGCGATATAAATCTCACTTTCCTAGGGTTTGCTGTGATTATGTTATCTTCATTCTGTGAGATTTCGAAACATCTTTTTCTCCAAATGATCTGGGATAAATCTCGCATTCGAAGGATATTTTACGGATGAAAAAAATGTATGAAAAAATATTATCCATCTTAAATTAATATTTCGATCTAATGAACACGGCTTCTTGGGAATAATTAATCGATAAGGCATGAATCCTTTCCTTTTCTGTGGAATAAATCGCACTTTCTAACATTTGCCTTGCACTTGTTACGCCCATATGCTAATCTAACTTTGGCAATCACGATATGGCGCGGGGATGGAAAGTTTGGAATAAACATCAAATTTGTTCATTATAAATGTATATTAGAATCAATTTACTCGATGTTTGTGTAAACTTGATGGGGTCGGTCGGGAGCTTAGTTTTAGAAGGTCAAAAAATTCTTCATCGTTGACAAGTTAAAATTTTAAATTGATTCAAGAGTTGTAAAAATAATTTAAACACATAAATGGGTACTTCAATAGTAAACAATATCATCATTAACAATTTTGACATTTTTCCCTGATACACTGATCGTGTTTATATTAAAATCGAATTAGTTTTAATATAATTCTTTCCTATAAAACAAGTCTCAATACCATGAGATAAATTTGACTTATTCTATTTCCTGAATGGAATAATCCGTAGTGTATTTGAGGCTTTAAAATGGATGTAAGTGAAAAGAAACCCGAGGAAAATGTATCGGAAAATAATTTTAGTGAACATGATATTGTGGTTTCGAATGACACACAGCACGTTTGTGATGTTTGTCAGGAGACATTTACACTAGAATCAAGCATGATAACTCACCGAGTCACAATTCACAATGAACGCAAAAATTACGCCTGCGACAAGTGCGAAAAAAAATTTGTAAAAAAATCAAGTTTATTGGCGCATCAAAAGTTGGTACACAAAGATCGCGAAGATTTCACGTGCAACAAGTGCGAAAAAAAATTTGAAAATAAACAGAGTTTGCTCACGCATATAAATACAGTACACGACGGTCGCAAAGATTTTGCAGGTGACAATTGTGGGAAGAAATTTGGAAAAAAATGGCATTTGCTCAAACACCAAGAAGTAATCCACGAAGGCCGCAAAGATTACGAATGCCATAAATGCGAAAAGAAATTTGGACGCAAATCGACTTTACTTTTTCACCAAAAGACAGTTCATGATCATCGCAAAGTTTATGAATGTGAACAATGCCAGAGTAAATTCGGAAGAAATTCGGAATTGCTCTCCCACCAAAAAACAGTTCACGAGGGACGGAAAGATTTTGCATGTGACCAATGTGAAAGAAAATTCGCAAAAAAATCGAATTTACTCGGACACCAGAGGAAAGTACACGAAGGTCGTAAAGATTTCGTATGCGGCAATTGTAAGAAAAAATGTCCGAGTAAATCAAATTTGTTGGTACACCAAAAGACAGTCCATGAGGGTCGAAGAGATTACGAATGCGACAATTGCGAAAAGAAATTTGGACAAAAAACGAATTTGCTTACCCACCGCAAATTAGTCCACGAAGGTCTAAAAGATTACGCATGCCATAAATGCGAGAAGAAATTTGGCCTTAAACAGCATCTGCTTTCGCACCTAAAGACGGTACACGAAGGCCGAAAAGATTATGAATGTGATGAGTGTAAGAAAAAATTTGGACAAAAATCTAGTTTGCTTACCCACCACAAATTAGTCCACGAAAGTCGAAAAGATTTCGCATGCGACAAATGCGAAAAGAAATTTGGACGAAAAATCTGTTTGTTTCGCCATCAAAAGGCAGTACACAAAGGTCGAAAAGATGCCTTGACGCATGCATGAGAAGAAACGATGATTGAAAATTATAATTATGTATAGATACTTATAAATATATGTTTTCTAGAACTGTAATAAAAATTTTGCCACTAAAAAATAAAAACCGTAATAAAATTCGGCCAAAAATGACGGATTGATTCCTTTGCACATTATTGGCAAGCAAATTAACGGTGATGACTTAGCCAAGATGTTATTCGAGATCGGCGACGAAAAACACCAAACGGTGCAAGTAAACGTTGCGGATAAGTTGGGCCGGACGTCCCTCCAATGGGACGTCCGGCTTCATATAAGCAAATAATATTCACAGAAGACGAAAAAAATCTATTGTTGTTATAGTTGCAAATGCAAAAATTTAACTTGGTTGGGACCAGTGCATGAACTTTCATTATTTTATGTTATCGAGTAACATAAGCAGCGACAACAACTCTTCTTGCACCGATCTCAAATTTTCTAACTCATTGGCACAAATATCAATGACTTTGGATTGTTGTAACTTTCACACAATCGAATCGATTGATTTTGACCAATTTTTTTGCAAGATGATCTTTTGCACGGAATAAAATCTTGTTTTGTACCGAGATACGACTTTAAAGTCTATAGTATGTTTTTCGGTCGGGTTTCGCGAAATATTTTCGGTATAATTTATGTCTATCGAAAGAATATCTATTTAAGATTGTTGGATTGAAATTTCAAGGTGAAGAATCGATCGAGTCAAAAATTCATAATCAATTATCAAAACATCGTAAAAACGTGCCCACAAAGAGAAGATACTCGATTGAATATTCGTGTAAGACACGCGGTCATAACATTGCGGTCATAAAACCTATCTATCTTCGGTCAACGCGACGTTCCAAAAAGTCACATTTTGTATTTTTACCGACTTTCTGGCTTCTGCATGGGTCGTGCGGATCAAGTCTCAACTCGTCTCGAGAAAAAAAAGGCGCGCAGAGTCGTAAACTTGTAACGGTCGGCAGTTAGCACTCAGCAGTCGGCTGCGGCTCGGCACAGTTCAGTAAAAGTGACGACGCCGCACAGTTAACAAAGACAGGTCGACGAGTGTAGCAAGTGATTCTTGTGAAGTGTACATCAACTTTATAAATTATAAACGATAAACGATAAACGATAAACGATTGAAAAGTGATCAAGTTTGTAAAAGTGTGTGTAGAACAATGACCGAAGACGATCGAAACTGTATCAAAAAATTGAAAATTATGCGAGGAGAGGTTAATTGGGAGATAAATAATGAACGACGAAAATTTCTCAATCAATTCTATACTTTGATCGAAAATTGGGAGGGTCAATTGCCAAATCTTCCAGACATTTTTCAAAGTAAAGAAATTGATTGGCTCCTCAAGCAGCATGTCAAAATCATGTGCAAAACCCAAGTTATTCTCAAAAAATCTCTACTACTTGATTTCGTAATCCGGTGCGGCTACAAGGACCAACCCAAAGTCGATGATGACGACAGTCCACTGTTGCGTCGCACCACACCAATACACATTGTGGCTAGACACAAATATAGCCTTCTATTGCACTACATTACCCGGGATCTCTTCAAAATATACGACAGATTCGATGTGAATTATTACGACGAAGAGTCATTCTACACACATTTCCATGTAGCTTGCGAGTACGGCTGTGACGAGGTCGTCGAGAAATTTCTCGAGTTCGGCCAGGATCCCAATTGCATCTCTGAAGAATCAGACACGTGCTCAGTCAATTCACCGATGTACTTGGCTCTTGTTAACAGTCACAAGCAAGTAGTGAGATTGTTGCTGAGATTTGGGGCGGATCCAAACTTGACCGACGCAGAAGGATCGACACCTCTGCATCTTATTTGCGATCACTGCGACGATGACTTCATGGAGATGTTTTTCAAGATCAACGAAGACATGCATCGGACTCTGCAAGTCGACGCCCTCGACAACCGTGGATGGGCCCCGCTGCACTTGGCTCTGGATCGTCGCCTGAAGAAAAAGACCGAATTGTTACTGTCGAGAGGCGCAAGTCCGAATTTGGTTAACGAGGATGGAAAGTCGCCGTTGCATATTATTTTATGCAAAAAAGACAGAAAAGTTAAAAAATATTTTAAAGGCTATAGTAGCTATACTGACGATAGTGACGATAGTGACGACGAACATGAAAGTCATGATGTTGACGATTATGAGTTGATGAAGGCATTTTTCAAGACCTGTGACGAAAAAAATCAAACGGTGCATGTCGACGCTCGAGACGATTTGGGACGGACGCCACTGCACTTGGTTGTACGCGATAAAAACATGCAACTAGTCGAATTACTTTTGAGAAGAGGCGCCAATCCGAATCTGACCAAATCGGGTGGATTAACTGTTCTGCACATTATATGCAGAGATGGCAAAGATGCTGATAAGGACGATTATAATGATAATTATTACGTTGATGATGACCTGGTGGAGCTATTTTTCCTGATCACCGACGAGATGCAGCTGTCGGTCAAGGTCAACGCTGTGGATGATTTGGGTAATGCACCGCTGCACTATGCTCTAGGCAGTGATGCCAGAAAAGTAATCGAACTACTGCTGAGCAACGGGGCAGATCCAAACTTAGCCGATGCAGAAGGATTGACTCCTCTGCACATCATTTCCAAGGGAGTTAAGGGTTGTTACTACAGTTGTGGTCGTTATTTTTTAGAGGTGTTTTTCGAGGTCATTAAGCAAAAACATCTGCTGGTTCAAGTCGACGCCCTCGACAAGGAGGGCAACACACCGCTACATTTGGCTCTGAAAAACTATAACAAGGATAGCAATGATAATGAGAATATCAAAGAGGTGATTAAATTGTTGTTGGAAAACGGCGCGAACCTGAATTTGGTTGATGCAAAAGGATCGACTCCTCTGCACATCATTTGCAACAAAGAAGTTCGTTATAACGACGAAGATGATCATCGTCATGATCTGTTAAGGATGTTCTTCGAAGTCAGTAACGTCAAAAATCAGCCGATACAAGTCGACGCCTTCGATAAGGAGGGCAGCACACCGTTGCACTTGGCTCTGAACCGCAACATCGCCGACAGGACGATAGTCACTTTACTACTGAGAAACGGCGCCAACCCGAATCTGGCCGATGCGAAAGGATCGACTGCTCTGCATATGATTTGCCATCTCTATAAAGATCGCGATGAATTCGCGAAGATGTTTTTCGATATCAGCGATGAAAATCACCTGACGGTGCATATTGATGCGCAAGATAATTGGGGCCGGACACCGCTGCACGTGTCTCTGGACTATGTAAACACGGATATGGCCGAATTTCTACTGAAAAGGGGCGCAGATCCACATTTAGCCAGCTCGGATGGATCGACAATTCTGCACCGGATTTGTGGTAGATCCACCGAGGATTATTATTTCGTGAATAGGTTCTTTGCGATCCTCGACGAAAAACGTGTGACGGTTCAGATCGACGCTCGGGATAAATTCGGACGGACACCGCTCCACTTGGCTCTTGCCCGCAACCACAAAAAGTCGGCCAAGTTACTGCTAAGAAGAGGTGCCAACCCGAACTTGGCCAATGCAAAGGGATTGACTCCTTTGCACACGATTTGCAAAGATAACCACGACGACGATGACCTCGATGATGAAGACGATGTCGATGGTGATAACAATGGACTGGCAAAGTCATTCTTTCGGATCAACGACGAAATTCAGCAGACTGTGCAAATCGATGCCATAGACAGGATGGGTCGGACACCGCTGCACTTCGCAGTGGAATACGGTTACGGAGTCATGACCAAATTGCTGTTAAGAAAAGGCGCTAACCCAAATTGGGCCGATGCCAACGGATTGACTCCTCTGCACGTTATTTGCAAAAGAGACAACGAAATGGACGACGAGTTGCTAAAGTTGTTTTTCAAGATCAACGACGACATGGAGCAGACTGTGCAGGTCAATGCGCAAGACAGTAATGGTAACACACCGCTGCATATGTCTCTGGGCCTCAGCAAAAAGAAATCGACCGAGTTATTGTTAAGAAGAGGTGCCGACCAGAATTTGGCCAACGAGGATGGATCAACACCTCTGCATATCATTTGCCAGACAAAAGACGACGATGACTTGACAAAAACCTATATCAAGGTCAACGACGATATCCAGCCGACCTTACAGGTCGACGCCGTGGACAAGATGGGTCGGACGCCTCTTCAATGGGCCGTAGCGAATCTCAAGACGAACGTGGTTGAAGTTCTGCTGAATCATCGAGCCGATCTGTCTGACTTCGTTTTTCCCACCGAGAATTACTTTGCCGAAAATTACAGACCACGTCGTGGAGTCTGGAGTGCTGTGTTCGATACGATGTCTATTATCAAGTCCCTTCAAGGAAGAGGATTTAAACTGGACCAAAACACCGCCTTGACGATCATGAAATTTTTCGCCAAGCACGGATTGATCACCGATCAGTGTGTAGATATCGACGAATGTTTGCGTAGCAATCAATACATTGCGAGAGAGGCCAAAAGACGCATGGTGACGCCGATCCTGTCATTCTACGATTTTCTTTGTCTGCCATATGAAGAAGCGGAGAAAATATTTACACTTAAAGATTACGAGGAGTTTACATCTGGAATTTTTGATTTTAATTATAATCCTCACCAGGCGTATACATTGTTCCTGTGCCAGAGAATTACCACAAGATTTTTCCAGCGATGGGCCCTGGAATTTTTTATGCCACTAACGCGATACCGGCTGCCGATTCTCTGCTGTGATATAATCATCCGGCAAATGAAATTAAAAGATTTGTGGTCTATTTGCCTGGCAGCTACTGGTCAAAACCTGGATGGAGTCGAGCAATCATTTAAACCTTTATGTATTAATTAATGATAATATAGACATGAAAACTACAGTGAGTGTGGATTGCTCTCCAAAGTCCCTGGCTTTGGCAGCAAGTGTTGAGATTAAAATAGATGCAAAGAAAGAGCAAAAATAATTTCATAGTTCGATTTTCATACTTTTATAGAGATGAAGTGTGAAATAAAGTCTATTTGTAGAAAAAATAAAGATATCTTTATGAATAAGTCTTGACGTATGTAACAATTTACTTACCCAAATGAATTAATTTTAAAATTAATCACTTGAAACGACCGAAATTTAATATTTTCGACATAAATTTTGTATTATTTATAGTAAACTAATATCGGCGATTATTACTTACACGAAAAAATCAGCAATGCAGTTTTCGTGAAAATATAGCACAACAGTTGCTCTTAGAACTAATTAACCAATCGTATACTGTATGCTGTTCTTGGGTTGAATTAAGTTCTTTCTAGCAAAGGGCAGGGCAGCTAAATGTAACAGTTGTCATCATTGACTTTTTATGATACTGACTCGATACAAACTGCCAATCCCTTGCTGTTATGTGATATAATCATCCGGCAACTGAAATTAAAAGATTTGTGTTGCATTTGCTTGGGGGCCGTTAATCAAAATTTGAATTGATTGATCTTGTAAAAATAACAAGTTCAAAATTAGTCTCTGTATTTAAAAGTGTAATTTGAAAGAACAAGTGTTTAATTCGAATTTAACACTTTTATTAAAATCAAGTTTGGAATTATATTTAAAAATTGTCAAAAATTATGGATAATTAATTAAAAATTGTATGTCATTTCAAAAATAAAGTTCACAATCTGACTTAGATTTTAGACAAAATAAAAATATATTCTCAAGTACTGTCTGAACATTAATTCTTATATAGCAATTCATTTTCAAATTTATGCAAACATTTAATATTTAACAGCATAGTAATGTTCTTTACTGAAATTCGTTCGAAATATTTTTCAAATCGTCGCCCCGCGGCAAAGGTACACATAAGCAAATAATATTCACAGAAAACGAAAAAAATCTATTGTTGTGATAGTTGCAGTTGTCGTTATGGAAAAATTTAACTTGGTTGGGACCAGTGTATGAACTTTCATTATTATATATTATCGAGTAACATAAGCAGCAACAGCAACTCTTCTTGCACCGATCTTAAATTTTCCAACTCATTGGCACAAATACCAATGACTTTGGAACGTTGTAACTTTCACACAATCGAATCGATAGATTTTGACCAATTCTTTTGCAAGATCTTTTGCACGGAATGAAATCTTGTTTTGTACCGAGATACGACTTCAAAGTTTATAGTATGTTTTTCGGTCGGGTTTCCCGAAATATTTCCGGTATAATTTATGTCTATCGAAAGAATATCTATTCAAGATTATGGCATTCAACTTTCAAGATGAAGAATCGATCGAGTCAAAAATTCATAATCAATTATCAAAACGCACACAAAGAGAAGATACTCGAAACCTATTGATCTTCGGTCAACGCGATGTTCCAAAAAGTCACATTTTGTATTTTTAACGACTTTCTGGCTTTTGCGAGGGTCGTGCGGATCAAGTCTCAACTCGTCTCGGGAAAAAAAAGGCGCGCAGAGTCGTTAAAACTCGTAACGGTCGGCAGTCAGCACTCGGCAGTCGGCTGCGGCTCGGCACAGTTCAGTACGAGTTACGACGCCGCTCAGTTAACAAAGGTCAACGAGTGCAGCAAGTGATGTCTGTAAAGTTTACATCAATTGTATATAAATTATAATTGATTATAAGTGATTAAGTTTGTATAAGTGTAAGGAAAAATGGCTGAAGACGACCAAAAGTGTTTGAAAAAATTGAAAACTTGGCGAGAAGAGGTTAATTGGGAAATTAAAGAAGAACGACTAAATTTTCTCGATCAATTCTATTCTCTGATCGAAAATTGGGACGGACTACTTCCTAACCTCCGAGACATATTTCGAACTGAAGAAATTGGTTGGCTTCTCACGCGAGATGTAGAAAACGTGTGCAAAAGTGAAATGACTTTTAGCACATCTCTACTACTCGATTTTGTAATTCAGTGCGGCTACAAGGACCAGCCCAAAGTCGATGAAGACGGCAGCCCATTGTTGCGTCGTACCACACCAATACACAATGTGGCTAGACACGAATATAGCCTCTTATTGCACTACATCACTCGGGATCTCTTCAAAATATACGATAGATTCGATGTGAACTACAGCGACGAGTCCGGCCTGACTCATTTTCATGTGGCCTGTAAGTTTGCCTGTTACGATGCAGTCAAGAAGTTCCTCGAGTTCGGACAGGATCCGAATTGCCTCCCGCAAACATCAGTTGATCCGCCGATGCACTTGGCTGTGGCTGAAGGTCATAAGAAAATTGTAAGATTGCTGCTGAGATCTGGCGCTGATCCAAATTTAACCGATGACGAAGGATCGACCTCTCTGCACATTATGTGTAATAACAGCCGTGATGTTGTAATGGAGGTATTTTTCAAGATCTGCGACGAAGAACGTAAAGTGGTGCAGGTCGACGCTCGAGACGATTTCGGACGCACACCATTGCACTTGGCCGTACGTGACAAAAACGAGAAACTAGCGGAACTACTTTTGAGAGGGGGCGCCGATCCAAATTCAGCGGATGCAGACGGATGGACGCCGATGCACATTATGTGCAGGATAGGCGAAGATGACGAGGACGATGATGACGTTGAGGTCGATGTTGAAGACAATTATGAATTTTTGCAGCTATTTTTCAAGATCAACGACGAGATCCAGCAGTCGGTGAAGGTCGACGCTCGAGACAGTTTGGGGAACACACCGCTGCACTTGGCTATTGAGAAAAATCTCAAGGAATCGTTCGAATTGTTGCTGAGAAGAGGCGCTAATCCTAATTTAGCCAACTTGGACGGATTGACTCCTCTCCACATCCTTTGCCGAAGCTACTATAACGAAATACATCCTTTCCTAAAAATATTTTTCGCGATCTGCGACGAAATGCATCAAACGGTGCAGGTCGACGCTCGGGACAAATTGGGCCGGACACCGCTGCATTTGGCTCTGCACTACAACAACAAGGAGGAGTTTGAATTGTTGCTGAGACGAGGCGCAGATCCTAATTCAGCCAATGCGGAAGGATCGACGGCGCTGCACGTTATTTGTATGAGATACCGCGACGATGAATTTGTGAAGACATTCTTGAAGATCAACGACGACATTCAGCAAACGGTGCAGGTCGACGCTCGGGACAAATTGGGCCGGACACCGCTGCATTTGGCTCTGTTCTTGAGCAACATGAAGACGGCCGAAACTCTGCTGAGAAGAGGCGCTGATCCGAATTTGACCGACGAGGATGGATCGACCCCTCTGCACGTTATTTGTAAAAGAGTCTACGACTCTGATGAAGATGACTACGACAGTTTCATGGATGTCCTGGCGAACTTTTTCAAGATTAACGACGAATTACATCAGACGTTGCTGGTCGACGCCCAGGACAAGTTGGGCAACACACCATTGCATTGGGCTGTGACTCGCGAATACTGGTTGATGTTCGAATTGTTGGACAGAGGCGCTAATGCGAATTTGGCCGATGAAGAGGGATTGACTCCTCTTCACATTATGTGTAAGATTAGAGATTACGATTCCGTAATGGCGGAGGAATTCTTCAGTACCAACGACAAACTCGATCATCCGGTACATGTCAATACCCGAAATAAAAAAGGTCAGACACCGCTGCACTTAGCCCTGAACTGTCACGACCAGGCGTTTATCGAATTACTGCTAAGAAGAGGTGCCGATCATAATTTGGCTGACGATGATGGATCAACACCCCTGCATATCATTTGCCAGAGAAAAGACGGCGATGAATTGTTGAAAAAATTTTTCAAGTTCAACTGCAAACTTCATGAGACGGTCGACGCCAAGGACAAATTGGGCCGCACTCCACTGCATTGGGCCGTAGCGAGTCTCTTGCCAGACATGGTAGAGTTTCTGTTGAAGAGTGGTGCTAATGGTTCTGGCTTCGTTTTTCCCACCGATGCTTACATTGTCAAGAAAAATGCACAACAAGACACACTCGGAACAGTCGTGTTCCATACGATGTCTATCATTGAGTCCCTGGAAAAAAGAGGATATCAACTGGACCAAACCACTGCCATCAGCATTATGAAAACATTTGCCAAACACGGATTGATTGATAAGACAGTGGATAGCATCGTAGAGTGTTTGTGTAGCGATGAAGTTTTCACTAGCATTGCAAAAGAAAAGATGGTAGATCCAAACCTGACACTCTATGATTTTCTTCAGCTGCCACCACAAAAGGCAGAGAAATTATTCACAGTTAAACAATACAAGGACATTTCTAAATTTATTCATCACAGTTATAGGTTTTACCAAGGGTTTATTTTGTTCCTGTGCAAGAGAGTAACTACACGATTTTTTCAGGGATGGGCCGTGGAACTTTTTATGACACTAACGCGATACCAGTTGCCAATTCTCTGCTGTGATATAATCATCCGGCAACTGAACTTGAAAGATTTGTGTTGCGTTTACCTGGCAGCAGCTGATCCAAATCTGGATTGATTAAAGTGATATCTTAAACTTTTGCATCAGCAAAATGATAATATGGACAATGTGCAAAAGCTGCAGTGAGGTCAATATTTATACAAACTTTAACTTCAATAAGTCTGTGGTCCAGCAGTATAAAGACATTAATTGTAACGAGTTTAGTTTAGTTTCGATTGAATAGCTCTTCAAAGTATTTGTCTGTAACAATAAGAATTGAGATTAAAATAGATGTAAAAAAGAGCAAATTATTTTATAGTTAATTTTTCATACTTTTTTAAAAATTAAGTTTAAACTATGTTTAATCAAATCAAAAATTATGTTTAAAAATGTTCTAGATAGTAAGCAATATAAAATCAAATTAAAAACAAAACTTTCTTTCTAGAAAAAATAAAAATATCTTCATTAACACATCTTGATATCTGTAACAACTTATTTACTTGAATGAATCCATTTTAAAATCAATCCATTGAAAAGATATAATATTATCATTAATTAATAAACTATAATTAATAAACTATAATAAAAGAACTTTCCTTTCAAAGATTGAAGGGAGCATTAAAAGACTCCTATAGATATAATGCACAGGTACAAACCAAGTTTTATAAGTTCATCAATATAAATTTTGAACTATTTTTGCTATAAATCGTAATTTATTTGCAGTATACCGGATCTATTCTAATTAACAATGCCAAAATTAAATTTACGTAAAATATGAAACTTGCTCGCGTGATCAAAGCAAAAGGAAATATTGACGACTTACATTCACGTGTCATATTCAAAAATAAAAAATTCGATAGAAAAATGTAACTTGATTAAATGAAATTCAAAACTTATGATGTATATTTGCATAATTTTTTTAAGACCGACTTTCGTAAAACGGAGGCTGTGTTGATCTTTTTATCGTTATGCGGCTCATACATTTCAGAACAATACAACGAATTTGAGAAGAAACTTTATTTATGAACAAAAGTGAGCTATCGAACGTATGAATGATAAAAAATTAATAACAGTTTCTAATACTTCATTGTTCGTCACAAAATCGAAGAAAATTCATGTAAAATCATAAAATTATATGTGAGTATAGGAGTCTTGATTGGGTCTAAACGTCTCCGTATAGATCTCACTTTTATAGGGTATGCTCTGATTATGTTATCTTCATTCTGTGAGATTTCTAGTCATATTTTTCTCCAAATGATCTGGCATAAATATATTCTCGAAAGATTTTTGCGAATGAAAATGCTAAGGATAATATATAAACAGATAAATGGGTACTACAATAATAAACAATACGATCATTCACGATTTTGACTTTGTCCTTCGAAGCACGATTTATAATGAACATAAATTAGTTTGAGTGTAGTCTTTTCCGAAGAAACAAGCTATAACGCCAAAAGATAAATTTGGCTTATTCTATTTCTTGAATAAAATAATCCGTTGTGTATTTTAGGTACTGAGATGGATGTAAGTGAAAAAAAACCCGAGGAATGTGTCGCAGAAAATAATTTGAGTGAGCATGAATCAAGCATGATAACTCACCGAGACACGATTCACAATGAACGCAAAAATTACGCCTGCGACAAGTGCGAAAAGAAATTTGTAAAAAAATCAAGTTTGATGGCGCATCAAAAGTTGGTACACAAAGATCGCGAAGATTTCACGTGCTTCAAGTGCGAAAAAAAATTTGAAAATAAATCAACTTTGCTCAAGCACAAAAAAATATTCCACGAAGTTTCCAAAGATTTCTTATGTGAAAAGTGCGCGAAAAGATTTGGAAATAAAAAGAGTTTGCTCGCGCATATAAATACAGTACACGTGGATTGCAAAGATTTTGTAGGTGATAAATACGAGGGGGAATTTGGATTCAAATCATATTTGCTCGACAACTTTTTTTGCGACTTTGTTTGCGACAAATGCGAAAAAAAATTTGGACAAAAATCGAAATTGATTAGACACCAAAAGACAGTCCACAAGGGTTGCAAAGATTTCGTATGCGATAAATGCGAGAAAAAATTCGCAAAAAAATCGAATGCAATCGGACACCAAAGGAAAGTACACGAAGGTCGTAAAGATTTCGTATGCGGCAATTGTGAAAAAAAATTTGGACAAAAATCAGATTTGTTGAAGCACCAAAGGATAATCCACGAGGGTCGCACAGATTTCGCATGTGACAAATGCGAAAAAAAATTTGGACAAAAAACGAATTTGTTAATGCACAAAATGGCAGTACACGAAGGACGCAAAGATTATGCATGTGACAAATGCGAGAAGAAATTTACACAACAATGTTTTTTAACGAGACACCAAAATATAGTACACGAAGGTCGCAAGGATTACTCATGTGACAAATGTGAGAAAAAATTTGGACAAAAATTAGTTTTGTTCAAGCACCAACAGACAGTTCATGAGGGTCGGAAAGATTTTGCATGTGACAAATGCGAAAAGAAATTTGGACAAAAATCGACTTTGCTCTTACACCAAAAGACGATCCACGAAGGTCGCAAAGATTACGCGTGCGACAATTGCGAGAAGAAATTTGGACAAAAAATGTGTTTGTTCCGCCATCAAAAGATAATACACGAAGGTCGAAAAGATTACCCATGTGACAAATGCGAGAAGAAATTTGGGGTTCACAGCAATTTGATAAAACACCAAAAAATAGTCCACGAAGGTCGGAAAGATTACTTATGCGACAATTGTGGGAAGGTATTTGGAATAAGATCGAATTTGCTGAAGCACCAAAGAACAGTGCACGAAGGTCGGAAAGATTACGCATGCCATAAATGCGAGAAGAAATTTGGACACAAATGGATTTTGCTTTCCCATCAAAAGATAGTACACGAAGGTCGAAAAGATTAAACATGTGACAAATGCGAGAAGAAATTTGGGATTCAAAGTAATTTGATAAAACACCAAAAAACAGACCACGAAGGCCACCAAGATGCCTTGACGCATTCACGTGAAGAAATGTTGATTGACTATTATAAATATGTATAAATAGATACTTATAAATATATTTGTGATTGAAATGGCTTACGAGATAACTTCGATTTCGAGATAACCAAGATTGTTAGTTGGGCCCAGTGCATGAACTTTCCTTATTATACGTTATCGAGTAACATGAGTAGCGACAGAAGCTCTTCGCGACGGGCTACTGATTTTTCGATTTTATACTCTGCTGTCCTCGAGTCAAAATAATTTTCACTGCTGGTGGTGGTTGCAGAATATAATAGCTGTCACCATCGTCGCGAGATTAAAACATAGCAATAACATAAATTAATAAAAATATAATTGAATTTAAAATTATAGGAAAATTATTTACTACTTCAAAACTATTACTAATAGATCAAAAGCATCGTATTATTGACTATGTTCGTTATTTTCAATTAAGGCATGTCAAAATGATGGATAAATCGTATCAAAATTTATAAGCATTTGAGAGCATCTTTTAAACGTATATTTTCATTAAATTATAAACTACGATAAAAGAAAATTCATTCATTCAGCCAGTAAACTTTTTAGAAAAGACAAACGCGTACGTGTTACATGGTCGATGATAAACCCGCTCAGCTTCATTGATGCCGAGCAAAGCGTAATCGACTTGATTTGACAATTTCCCAAATGAACGCGACAGGAATTGTCGTATACCCTCGATCGCCAAAGACCGAGAAAATTTTCTTGCGAATCATCATCTCGTTCGCTTTTATTATTGCCGCGTCACTGTCAAGATGCCACTACTCCTTCGGATCTTTACACTGTGTATACGCTGAAAGTAGACCGTGTAACGTCGTATTATCGTCCAGTACACGTTAGGGCGTCGCAGCGAGTGATTTTCGCGAGAAAAAAGAAAAAGGAAAAGATAAAGAACGCGGGTACAAATGGCCATCGTCCCGTTCGACGCAACTATGGACTTCGCGACGCCGTGAGAATCGGCCACTGGACTCGTTTGGGAGTGCTGCTGTCGTCCGGGGCCGATCCGAATCTGGCCGGCGAGCAGCGACGGAACGACGGCCCTGCACGTCCTCTGCCAGTCGCCGGACCAAGACGACGCCACGCCGATCATGGAGTATTTTGGTGAGGCACCGAGATCCCGGGATAGAAGACCCGAGCTTGACGAGGGGATTTTTCCGGCCCGCGGTGATTCTTTTCTGCCATCTGTTGTCGCGGTATCCGATATGGGACTGCTGCGAGCAGATCATTGACCAGTTTAGTAACCAAGATATGTGTAATATCTGCCTCGCGGCGATAGGTTTTTCAGAATCTAATGACGCTGATTGAATTAAATGCGCAGATTAAGCGTGTCTTGTGATTACATAAAATAAATGAAGAAATCCGTCAATAAATAAAGGCCAAAATTGAATACGTGAAACTGCTCAGATGGACTGTTTTTTACCACGATAGTAAAATTCGAAGGATAAATGAAACCAATGCAGAATGATAAAATCATACCGTCCGATTGTACATTGAAACTTTCCTTTACGGACACCTCTTCAAAAGCTGGCACGATTTTTCGACGCTCGAGCATATCTCATTCACTTCGGAATTTCTGCTCGCGATTTACAAAAAAATCGTGTACTGTCCATTGGTGCACAAGCGAATGATTTTCGCGTCCAAATGTCTTTCCGTGGGATATCGAAGAGGAACGATGCAAACTTGGAAATTGAAGATGCCGATTGCCGGCGCTTGGAACAATTTTTTCGTCCTATAGAAATCAAATGGCTTCTCGGGAACCCAACAGCAGCGAATTTCCACGACACGTTATAAAAAGTTATTTTGTATACTTAGATCTGAAGCATCGCTCCTTTACAAAAATTAATCAATAAGTTATAAAAAAAACAGTAAAATAATGTCAGTGTCGTTATAAATTGAGAAAGAAGATTTAAAATATCAAGTGCAATTTTCGGGATCAAAAACTCGTCCCATCTCCCGTGGAGGATTGCATATAATTAATTAGCGATCGCGTCGACGGCGGCGGCGGCCTCTCTATCTTTGAATCGCTACTTATCAGCGTCGCTAAC